AGGGCTTCAGGGAGAAAGAGGCAGTTGCTCTGGACCTAGGAGGATGAACAGGCATTCAGCCGCCACACGCCATGTCTGTGGGAGTCACTGAGACACCACACGTGTTCCCGCCGGGCCCCAGGCCCCAGTTCTGCCTGGGATGTGACTTCCAGGGGTTCGCCTGGGTTTGTCTCACCCACATCACTCAGAAAGGCATCCTCTTCAGCCTTTCTTTCCGTCCTCCCAGTGACAAGTTGACTCTAAGTTTCGCAGCCCAGGGCTCTCGTTGCCATGCCAACCCCTCCTCCGCAGGCATCCAGGCAGAAACGGGCTGGCCCGATGCAGGTGCCGCCGGTGGATGCCGGCACGCTCAGGTAATTGGATTGGAGCGATCCACGTGGCCTTGTCTGCGGAACCCTGAGGCTTGGCCCAGCCCCGGTTTAGACGTGGGCCTGCGGGCACAGCAAGGACGCGGACGGGGTCTTTGCTCCAGGACTCCTAGAGCAGGCCCAGCAGGCACGAGGGCAGAGCAAAAGGCAGTACAGGAGGGACAGCCCCGCCGGGCCCCACACCGGGGCAAGCCCCACCCTGCACCACTTTGCAGAAGCCCCCCAGGGATCCCTAGGAGATGGTGTAGGCTTCCTTAGAGGGGCCAGGGCTTGCCTCGGCCAGCAGAACTAAGTGGTCTGGTTTGCTCACTTTCCTGCCACAGGAGAAATTCAAATTCAAAACCAGTGTCCACCTAGAACCCTTAAAGCCTCTGTGCAGGCGGAGCCCGTGCCCCGCAGGCCTGCCAGGTCCGCTTCCCAGGGAGCTGGGGCAGGATGTCTATCTTGGTGCCACCAGTGGTATCTAGCATCCCGTAGCAGCATTGGCCAGGCCCGACTCCTGAGGGTGTCCTCCTGCAGTGATGGCAGATCAGCCCTGCACTCTCAGCTCAGGCCTCTGGGCAGCCCCAGTGGCCCCCTGCCCTTCCCCACTGCAGGACCCAGACCAGCAGCCAGGTGTCTCGGTGCTTGGTGGGTTAACTGCACACGTCAGGAAGTGGCGCCATGCAGAGCTGCTTCCTGGCACTGCCCCACGGCTACCAGGCGTGGCCGGGGCTCTGGTCTCCTGGGTCCTGCCCAGGACTTGTCCACCTCTCCCTCTCCCATCTAGACTTAGGGTTGTGTGGGTTTCAGAGCCCAGGCCCCAAGGAAGCACATCCTGCCCCAGCCACCACCCTTCTGAGGACTGGAGGATTCCCTGAGCAGTTGCAGCCTCTAATGTCTAGCTCTCCTCTTTCATGAGGAAAGCGTAGATCAGACTAATTAATGTGTTGTTGACTGTTTACCCTCCTTCCATTTCCCTGAGACAAAATAATGAACCACAGAGCTTTAGAAACTGGCTCCATCGGTGGCAATCCCTTTTGTGTCTCCTGTGTCGGCAGCTTCCATGTGTAGTTGTGGGGGCCACACGTGGGAGCAGAGCAGGTGGGCAGCAGCGCCTGGAAGGGCGCCTCCTGTCCAGGGGGTCTGTACAGGGCCAGGAGGGCAGCAGGAAGGGCTGGGGTGCTTGGGTCTGCCACAGCCTAGAGGATCACGGTGGGGCCACCTCAAGTCCCATCAACCTGGATGGGGACCAGAGACATTCCTCTGTCCAGCCCAGGAGAGGCAGAAAGTTCTGGCCTGGCCACTCACTGCCACTGCAGGCAGGATAAAAGGGAGCTTGCCCAGGGGGTTTCTGGGGTCAAAGCAGGAGTGGGGGGCACATGGGGCAGCCAAGGAGGAAGTCTCTCTCCCCTACGCTCTCCCAATAGCCCTGTCCCAGCTAATAGTAGATCCCAACCCTGATTGGCCAGTGTTGGGGACAAGCCACACAAGAGAATGGGAGGTCTGAGGATGTCCTCCAAGGAACCCTGTGATGAAGTGAGGCCGCATCTGCCTCTGACCCATGACAAAGCCCAGCCGCCCTGTGGAACCTGGGTCAGGTCTGCTTGGATGGCAGCGTGGTGCAAACAGGACAGACACACCCCTCCAAGCCCTTTCTCCGCAGATGTCACAGCTAGGGCTCCGCCTGGGCAACCCACGCCACTGCCTTAGACAGGGCCTGACTCCTGACGCGGTGGCCGCAGCTCCTTGGGGCCACACAGCCCCCCCTGCCCAGCCTCTATCATCCCTGAGATGACATGTGTCCTGTTGGCGCCCATGGCCCATTAGGAGGTCCAGACATTAAACAGTCCCCAGGTCTTGGCAAGATGACAGCACAGTGTGGACAGGGTTTCACAAGCTGCCTTGGGTGGGGTCAAGGAAGACCTCCCTGAAGAGGAGGCACCTTGGCTGAGCCCTCAGCGTCGAGAAGGGCTGACAGGGGACAAGGGGCGAGGAGCGTTCGGCAGCGAGCCCGGCAGGTGCACAGGCCACCAGGGTGCTGGAGCCCCTCCTGCCGCTGGAGCGCAGTGGAGGGATGGGGGAAGAGCTGGTGGGGCAGGAGCACAAAGGGCCCCTGCACAGAGATCAGGAGACTAGACTCTGTCCCCTGGGACACCGGGACCAGCAGAGGGAGAGAGACTCAGGTGTGTTTAGGAAGCTCCTTCTGAGCACTGGGCAGCGGGGTTGGGGCTGTGGCTGAGACTGAGGACAGTGGCACGGTGCTGGGTGGGGAAGACAGTGGCACGGTGCTGGCCAGGCTAAGCTGGTGACCTCAGGCCACAGAGATGAGGACGACTTGGGAAACGGTCTGCCCTGTGACACTGGGGCCACATCCAGGTGGCCCAGGTGTCTGGCCTGGACCCCTGCCTTAGGACCTTGGTGCCAACTGCAGGGACCACTGGGGGCTAAGGAACCTTAGGAGACCCTGTTCTGTCTCCCCTGCCCCCATTGTCCTGGCCACAGCTGGCCTGGCAGAGACAGAGGTCCCTATGGGCCACCCTGTGTCCTCTCACTGCAGCCAGCACCACACACGAGGCTGCGAGGCTGCCGAGGGCGGCTGAGCCCCAGCCTGGGTGGGAGAGTGAGTCGGCTGTCACTCCCACTGCAGGCTTGATTCTCTCGCAGCAATCGCTGGGGTTTGACAGAAAGAACCAGGGAGTACGACGTCCTGGAGTCTTCCAAGCCGGATGGCAGGCAGGGAGGGCCTTGACTCCTGTCCCTGCTGAGCACTGAGCCAGGAGCACTGGCCATGGAGTGAGATGGCACAGGTCCCAGATTTCACCGAGGTCCATCAAAGAGCTTGGTCCCCCCCAGCTCCGGGTGGCTCACTGGGGTCTGCATAGGCACTCTGCTGCCTGGAACTGTGACCTTCCAGTGTTCACGTCAAAGTGATTTCCCCAGAGAAAGCAAGATCCTTGTGAAACGCGTGCGTCAGAGCCAGACGCAGCCCTGGCTTAGGTTCATCTTTACACACTGAGCCAGGGAGATAGTGGCCGCAGGGGTGTGCTCTGGCAGTGACAGGCCTCACAGCTCAGGCTGGCAGAACAGCCACCTCCTCTCTGGCCAGAGGCACCAGCCCCACCTGCCCTCTTGTCCCCTCCAGGGCACCTCTGCTGCCCTTTCTTGCCAGACGCTCCCGGCCTGCTGGGCAGGTGGACACGTCCCGAAGCATCTGGGATATACACAAGTGGGCCACTCACAAGGGGACCGGCTCCTAGTGGAGGCACCTAAGCCACCTGGGAAAGGGGGAGGACCAAGGTCCTTTCAGACAGAGGAGGTGACTTCTAAGCTGAGTCTTAAAAGAGAAAGAGTGAGCAAGGCCGGCAGAGAGCAGAGGGCCGGGACGGCGGATGAGGACGGGACGAGTTCCCGGAGGGGGACCAGGGGTCCCAGCCGGTATGAGGCAGCCTGGATGTGGCAGACAGACAGAGGATGTCCCTCCAGCCATCGTGGAGGCTGGTGGCTGACAAAGTTGGTGAAGCGTGCCACAGGCCTGGGCCAGCATAGGCAGCAGGGACTGATGGGGGGAGGGAGAGGAGGAGGAGGAGAGTATGTGGGGCAGGTGCCAGGGCAGGACCTGGGCTGTGTCCAGATGGTGGGCGGGAAATGAGCAGCCCACTGCCTGGGGCAGGGAAAGTCTAGTTACGCTTATACACACTTCCACAGTGTGACTCCCACGGGCCCCAGAGGCAGGGCAAACGCTCCAGACTCTTGTCTTTATTGATTTTTACATTCGGCACAATAAAGGCACCTGGTGGCCTCAGCTGGGCAGAGCTCCATGCCTGCTCTGAGACCCACTGTGGCTCCTGGGCAGCCGAGGACAGGGACCCAGGGTGGACTTGCTCAGGTGGCTGTGGGCCTCGCTGGGCTGCATCTTGGAGGTCACGTGGGAGAGTGGTTAAAGCTTGAGTCAGACCCGCAAGGCCCCAGGGACCTTCTCTAAAAGTCATGGGGACTGTCCTGGCCACTCTGCCTGGATCCTCTCTGGGGGTTGGGGGTTTCTGCCCGGGGTCAGAAGGGTGGGCGTGCCCAGCTTGGTGCTATAGGCGGGGCCACAGCCAGAGCCAGGCTATATGGGGGAAGGGGGGCACCCTAGGGCCCTGACAGCCACACTGCCCTCTGCTCCAGCACTCTGACCCCTTATCTCTGCTGTGTTCACACTCTGTCATGACCTGGATGGCACTCAGTAACAGGTGGCTGCAATCGTGGCCCCTCTAACCCAGGGGCCCATTCTAACCACAGCCCTGGCGCCTGATGGGCAGCCTCTAGGGTCTCCAGCCCAGTCCCCATGTGTCCACAAAGCTGTACCCCTCTGAAAACCAGGGCCATTTTTCAAGCAGTCAGGTTATAAGGTAAAGATGGTCAGTCAAGAACAGTCGTGCCACCAAGCTGTTTACTCCCAGAGAACAAAACACACACAGGAAACGGACTGAGCTAGTGCTGTCTCCTGGGCCCCAAATGCCCGTGGGAGCCCGCCGGCTCCGGCCTAGTCTCAGAACAGCCCTGTTCACCTCGGAGGAAGCAGGAATTGGGTGAGCTGGGATAATGGCCCCAGTGTCCTACCTGCTTCTCTGAAGATCACCATAAGCCCCTCACTTTCTGTCTCCGCAGGTTCTCCGGCAGGCCTTGGCGGCCCAGCATGGCCCACTGAGGTGAACCATGACGGGCTGGCCCCCACGCACTGCTGACCATCCAGAGTCACGTCTCACCAGGAGGTGACCCTTCCTCCGGCTGCCCCCCCCAACTCGCCCACCCCCGCCAGGAAAGTGCCCGCGGCTGCCACGGACACCATGTAGTAGGGCCGGCCGCGGCGCCCAGTGAGCTGCGATGGTTTTGTACACGACCCCCTTTCCCAACAGCTGTCTGTCCGCCCTGCACTGCGTGTCCTGGGCCCTCATCTTCCCATGCTACTGGCTGCTGGACCGGCTCCTGGCCTCCTTCAAGCCCACCACCTACGAGAAGCGCCAGCAGGCGGACGACCCGTGCTGCTTGCACCTGCTCTGCACCGTCCTCTTCACGCCTGTCTACCTGGCCCTGCTGGTGGCCGCACTGCCCTTCGCGTTGGTCGGCTTCCTCTTCTGGTCACCCCTGCAGTCTGCGCGCCGGCCCTACATATACTCACGGCTGGAAGACAAGAGCCTGGCCGGCGGGGCAGCCCTGCTTGGTGAATGGAAGGGAACAGGGGCCGGCAAAAGCTTCTGCTTCGCCACTGCCAACCTCTGCCTCCTGCCAGACTCGCTCGCCAGGTACAACAACCTTTTTAACACCCAAGCACGGGCCAAAGAGATCGGGCAGCGAATCCGCAACGGGGCCGCCCGGCCCCAGATCAAAATCTACATCGACTCGCCCACCAACACCTCCATCAGCGCGGCCAGCTTCAGCAGCCTGGTGTCTCCGCAGGGCGGAGACGGCGTGGCCCGGGCCGTCCCCGGGGCTATCAAGAGGACATCCTCTGTGGAATACAAGGGTGATGGCGGGCGGCACCCTGGTGACGAGGCTGCCAATGGCCCGGCCTCCGGGGAGCCGGCTGACGGCTGTGGCCTCGAGGACGCCTGCATCGTGCGCATCGGTGGTGGTGGCGAGGACGGGGGCCGGCCACCTGAAGGCGACGACGCTGCCCCTGGGAGCCAGGCCAGGAATGGCGCTGGCGGGGGCTCGAGGGGCCAGACACCCAACCACAATCAGCGGGACGGGGACTCGGGGAGCCTGGGCAGCCCCTCAGCCTCCAGGGAGTCCCTGGTGAAGGCGCGAGCCGGGCCGGACGGCGGCAACGGGGAGCCGGGTGTCAACAGCAAGCTCCTGTACAAGACCTCGGTGGTGAAGAAGGCGGCCGCACGCAAGAGGCGGCACCCAGACGAGGCCTTTGACCATGAGGTCTCAGCCTTCTTCCCCGCCAACTTGGACTTCCTGTGCCTGCAGGAGGTGTTCGATAAGCGGGCAGCCACCAAGTTGAAAGACCAGCTGCATGGCTACTTCGAGTACATCCTGTATGACGTCGGGGTCTATGGCTGCCAAGGCTGCTGCAGCTTCAAGTGTCTCAACAGCGGCCTCTTCTTTGCCAGCCGCTACCCCGTCATGGACGTGGCCTATCACTGTTACCCCAACGGGCGGAACTCCGATGCCCTGGCCTCCAAGGGAGCTCTGTTTCTCAAGGTAGGAGGCCTTGGCTGGCCTGAGGACCATGTGCCAGCCGGTCCCAGAGCCCTGTAGGGAGGCGGGCTGAGGCCGGGAGTCCTCACCCTCGGGGGGTGGGTGCTGGAGTGGGAGACCAACAAGGCCTTGCAGGGAGCCACACAGGAGGGACCCACTTGGGGACAAGGGAAACACAAACGTAGGGACAAGAACCACAGCTCTGGGCACAGACAGACCGAGCTGGGTAATCTTGGGCCAGGTCCTCAGATCTCTGAGCCACCATTTCCCCATATGCAAAATGGGGACAGGGTGGGAGTGGACCAGAGCAGTGAGGCCTCTGATAGGCCAGGAGGCACTAGTGGCTGTGGCAGTGGTGGCCATGATAAGGAGAGGAAAAGGAGGAGGAAGGGACCCTCTCGGTTCCCAGGGAGCAGTGAGACTAGCATGGAGCAAGTGCAGTAGGCAGAGAGACAGGACTCCCAGTCCCCTGGCCCATTCCCACGCCGGTGTTGCTGAGGCCACCAGCTTCACTGGCCTGGACACCCCTCCCTCCTGGCTGTCATGCAGCTGCCATGCCAGGCTCTCTGCCCACCAGCCTGTGGCTTCACTTCCATAGTCACTAATTAAACTGAATCATAATTATTTCTGCTAATTTGGATGCAATTGGAGGAGTTTTTAGACCGTGGTAATTTGGTCATTACACACTGAGCCTGAGACACTGAGTGTCGACTTTTGTTCTCTATCCAAAAGCCGCTCTTGATGCTTCCAGAGTTTCCTAAAGCATCATTCGGCAGCGGAGGCAGAACGGGGCCTTCTGCCCCCAGAAGCAGCAGCTGCTTCGGGTGGGGGTTCTCTCCCTTTGAGACACGGAACAGTGGGGGCTCAGCAGGGAGGGCTGTGGCTTTGGGGCCTCCCTGGGGCAGCGGGGGGTGCCCTCACTTCCCAGCTCCTCCAGGAGCAAACGTGCTCAGCCTGCCTGGGAAACGCTGGTGTCTGCCCAGCGTCTGCCAGGAGTGAGGGCGTCTCGCCCAGGCAGGCTCTTGAGGACCCCAGCCCCCTGCTTCAGGGTGCTTGATGGCTCTCATGTGGCTCTTGCCAGGCCCAGAGCTGGGCCCCTGGCTCTTCATTCACAGCAAGAGACGCCGACATTGAATTAACTCCTCTGACAGATAGATCCAGCCTTCCTATTTTGGCATATGGTTCGTTGGTGTTCTGTTCCATGGGTGTATTTTCGTCTCAGCGGCGGCAGTGCCTTTCTGGGGAAGAAGGGGATGTGTTATGAGGCCCAGGGTGGGAGTGAGAAGCCGTACCCTCCCACCCCATTGCTGACTGCTCAGAGGCCAGGGACGTCCCTGGGCCCCCAGCCCCCCTGTGCAGGCCAATACCCACGTCCACCCCCCATTCCTGGCACCCTGCCCATTGTTCCCACCAAGGTCAGTGACAGTCTCCTTGGGACAGCCCCTCCTCTGCAGCTCTGCCCTGAATGTTCTTTTTCATCTTCTTCTATCTCCTGGGTCTCAAACTGGTCTGCAGCTATGTTTGAGTTGGTGCATGCCATTAAACACTTTTCTTTGTATTGGCCAATATTTAAAAATCAAGATATTCTACATAAAACTCAGTCTGCAGCTTCTCTTGGCAGCTCCAGGCCTGCTGCATTTTGCAGTGACCAAGAGTTGGGGGTTGGCCATGCCACTCAGCCAGCTCTCTTCATGTGCAGGTGGTCACAATGGCCCCACTGAGTGCAGCTCCATAGCCCCCACGTCTGCCCATGTCGATGGCCCTCAGCCTTGTCCCAGCCCAGATCCCTCCCCTGACCCCCAGCCCTGCATCTGTTGCCTCCTAGACATGTCCCCCACTCACTCCAAACCAAAGTCACCATCTGCCTCAAGCTGCCCCTCTCCCAGTTCTGCCATCCCTAAGCCAGCAGGACACCTTGGCTGCTCTGTGGCCCAGGCCCAGCCTGTCCATCCCAGCCTTTCCTGTCACTCTCCAGACACCCAGGGTCCACCCCACGTCTCCAACTGCACCATTCCTCTGCGTTGGCCCAACTATGGTTTCGGTGTCCCGCCCCTGCCACTGGCTCTCCACCTCCCATGCCAGGTCCAGCTCCCCTCCACCCTCAGCCCGAGCCCTGCACCAGCCACACCCCCTGCCAGGGCCCCCACACCCGAGGCCCCTGCTTGTCTTGGTCTCACCCTGGGCTCGGGCAAGAACCTCATGGAGCTCTCCTCAGTGGCGCCCAACACGAGCCGGTCTTCCCCTCACAGGCTCCTCGGCCCTGTGCCCGGGTGTCTTGTTGCCCGTCTGTCCCAGCAGACAGAGCTCCTCGAGAGCAGCACTGACCCAAACGCGTCTCTGTTGGCCGAGCGTGTGACTGTTTCTCCTGCTGAAGAGGAGGCCACAGCAGGGACAGGCCCAGCTGGAGAGGGTCCAGGACCTGCGACTGCTCACTCACTGTGCTGGAAGCCAGCGGTCCCTGCCCCCTTGGTCACTGTGTGGTATTTCAGGTCCTTTAGGGAATGCGACTCTGCGCCGGAAGGAGCTGGAACCCCTTCTGCCCCATTCGCAGCCTAATTCCAGGCACCTGCTCTGTTGACAGTCTTTGCCCACCAGGACTGAAAGGCACAACCTCTCAGTGTGATTGTTTGTTTTTGCAAGAGAAACACAGGACTCTGCGGCTCCTGAGTCCACGAGCCAGGAATCGATAAGTTCCAGCAAATAATAAAGTGGCTCTTGGCAAGATCACAGGCCGATTAGGAGGGAGAGGTGGGGGTGACAAGAGGCAGCTCCTGCCTGTGTGTCACCCTCGGGCGGGTCCTTCTCGCTGCAGGGCAGAGTCCACACAGGTCCCTGCCCAGGACTCAGCACAGGGAGGTGACACTCAGTACTGAGAGGGGGACACGTTAGGACCAACAAATGGACGGGTGGGGAGAAGCAAAGATGCCAGCGGCTCGGAAAGCAGCGTGGGGCACCACATGGCACAAGATAGATCCGATATGAACCTGCCTTTGGTACCATCAGCCTTGTGACTTTTCTTGTGGCCCCAATGTGTGCATCTATAAAAATGGCATAAATCAAGCATTATCTCAGTTGTCATAAGGATCTATCGAGGTAATGTCCCTGAAGCATGAGGCACATGTAAGTGCTCCCGGTGAATATTATTATTATTGAGGAGGAAACAGGCCTGCTGTCTGATGAGCGCAGGGCGTGAGAGCGCCATCATGTGGCCTTTTTGAGCATTGTGGTTTTAAGAATGTTTTGTTTTTGCAGCAGGATACAGCGATGGTATGTGACATCACAGCACCATTCTGGGAAGGGGGCGGATACTATTTGACTGAAATTTGGGTCTGGTACATGGGCCAGAAGTGAATGGTGAACCTGTGGACTTAGAAACAGCCCCAAATGCAGGCCAAACAGCCCATTGTCAAATAGCCAGACAGTCACCCCCCAATGTGCTGGAGAAGGAGAGGCTCACGCCTGGGCCTGGGAGGGCAGGAGGAAGGACTGGAGAGCCGGGAGTGTTTGCTATGAGAACGTCCGGGTGGAAAACACCACCAGCGACTTTGGCAGCAAACAGAAAGACAGAGGCGACCATGCAGGCCGCTGTGAGTCCACACGAGCAGGCTGCTGCCTGCTGCGTGGCCCTCAGCCAGCAACTGGGACGGGAGCCTGGCCTCACAGGCCACCTCCTCAGAGAGCACCCTGGGTCTGGGGTCTCCAGTCTGGGATGGATTAGCAAGGTCTAGGGACGGAAGCCTACAGGGGAGGTGTCGAGGGCCCAGCAAGGACCTCCAGCAGCTATGCGACGACCCGAGGGCCCAGGAGAGTCCTCACGCCCAGGGCCATCGCTTTGTGACCACCCCCAGTTCCCACAGCTGCAGTGCTGACAAGGGCTAAGCCTTGCCCTGGGAGTCCCACCCTGGGAGGCCAGTTTAGAGTCATCTGTGGGGTACAGATGACTCTACTCTAAATGAGCAACTCTTGAGTTGCTCATTTGTGTTAAGCCAAACTTTGGAGACAGCCTTCCAGGGCCACCTGCCAGCTGGGCAGGGGTAGGAGCACCCTCTTTGGTAAAGAGGTGAGCAGAGAGTAAAGACAGAGTCTGAGGACAGGGGAAGCCAGAGGGCTGGGCTCAGGAGGGGGGCCGTGGGTGTGCACAGGGCCAGCCCAAGACACGGGGCCCAGAGCCCCAAAGACACTGGCCACTGCTCTCGCCCAAGACTGGGGACTACAGGGCCCACAGCCTAGCAAGCAGATGAGGCCACTTACATGCGTATGACTTACCACACAGATGGAGGGGCCAGAGCAGCAGGTGGCGGTGTCTGGAGGGAGGTGGTCCCACTGAGGTTTCAGAGGGAAGGCACACTAGGGTGTGACCAGGTCTAGGCTGTGACAGAGGGGGTAGGAAAGAGTCACCAAATAAGGAATGGACAGGAATGAGGGTCACACATGTGGACGCCCTGGTTACCCGGAAATGGCAGGGGTTGGGGAGGAATTCTGCCATGGATTCTGCATTTTCCCCCAGGAGGCCTTGCACGGGACGCCACTGGCACTCACCATGCCATAGGCTGGTTTGTTTGTTTGTTTGTTTGAATGCCTCTGCCTCCCACACTGGGCTGTCAGCTCCTAGAAGCAGGACACATCCTGTCCTTACCAGGGCTAGAGTCTGGCCAACAGCCTGGCACAGAGCAGGGCTTGTGAGGGTTTGACCCAGTGAGTGGTGCCAGTGTCCCTTTGCACTCAGGGCAGTGTTCACTGGTGGGTGGTGGCACTGACCCCTCCCCTTCCTCCAGGTGCAGGTGGGAAGCACACCTCAGGACCAAAGAATTGTCGGGTACATCGCCTGCACGCACCTGCACGCCCTGCCAGGTAGGGTGGCTGGCCCGCGGTTTTCTGGGGGTGTGGCCTGGCCGGGGTCTGGCCGTGAGCGTCATCGGCCGGTCCCTGTGCTTCTGCCCTGCAGAGGACAGTGCCATCCGGTGTGAGCAGCTGGACCTGCTTCAGGACTGGCTGGCTGATTTCCGAAAATCTACCTCCTCGTCCAGCGCAGCCAACCCCGAGGAACTGGTGGCGTTTGACGTCATCTGCGGAGATCTCAACTTTGACAACTGCTCCTCTGGTGAGGTCATGATCCTCCCTGCTCCGGCCTGCTGCTCAGGAGGGCGTGGGCTCCAGTCACAGCTAGAAAAACTTGGGTTAGGCAGCTCGAAGAACTTCCTGCTCTTCATAAGAATGTGGGTGGGATATTTAGTAAGACTATGATTTCTCTGCCCCCCCAAAATCCTGGAACAGGAATTGCCCACGCTCTGCCTAGAAAGCTCAGAGGCCTCCTTGCTGGAGACAAAGAGATGGCTTAAAAATGACCATCTGACAAGGGAGGCTTGGGGCCTCTGACACTCAGACTAAGGGAGAGTCCACTAACAATCCTCATCAAGTTTGTTTTCTTTGTTTTTGAGACAGAGTCTTGCTCTGTCACCCTGGCTAGAGTGACATGGTGTCAGCCTAGCTCACAGCAACCTCAAACTTCTGGGCTCAAGCGATCCTCTTGCCTCAGCCTCCAGAGTAGCTGGGACTACAGGCATGCGCCACCACGCCTGGCAAATTTTTTCTATTTTTGGTAGAGACAGGGTTAGCTCAGGCTTGTTTTGAATGCCTGACCTCAAACAATTCTCCCACCTTGGCCACCCAGAGTGCCAGGATCACAGGCGTGAGCCACTGCACCTGGCCCTCCACAAGTATTTATTCAGCTCTTAATTTTTGCCAGTCATGACTCTAACTGCTGTTCCATTTAAGTCTCACAACAGCCCTAAGAGGTAGGCACTGCACCATCCATGTGGTGTGGAAGAGCAGGCCGAGACCCAGAGAGGTTGAATGCCCAGCCCAAGGTCATCACAGCCAGTAGATGTCTGCACTGGGATCCAAACTCTGGCCACCATGCCTTAAACCATTCGGCTAAAAGACTCTAAGTTTATCCTCAGTGCAATTTTAAATATTTGATTTAAATAACTGGCCTGTGAATCAAATGACTGTGCTGATCTTACAGAGACTTCCTGGGGGTTTGAGCAGCTCTGAGCCTCCTGTGACCCGGAGGAGCTGGGTGTTAGGGAAGCCCCAGCCCATGGCTCCTGTGCTCCTTCTCCATCGGCCACAGCCCCCAGGGGACTGCGGGTGGGCTGGGATGATGCAGGGGCCTCGCTGAGGCCCTAGACCCCAGCAAAGGCTGGACACTTGAAGGTCTTACCTGGATCACAGGGTGGTGGCCTCACCTGGGGGCAGCAGGTTAATAGCAGTTCTGTTCTTAACCCGGGAGGCATCCCTGGACAACAGTGGCGACTCCAGGGTGAACGGGAAGAACGGCGCTCCCACCCTGGAACACGAGGGACCGCCACAGAGTGTGGAAGACTTTCCACTGGAGCCATGCGGGGCCGCAAGGCTGTCAGCCCCCACACACTGGCTCCTGCCCTGGCACCATGTCCCTGTGGTCCCGTCACAGTCCCATGCCTGATGCCAACTCCAAACACTGGGCGCTCCCAGATCCTCCTGCAGCAAAGTGGGGACCCAGCGCACACAGGAAGCAGCTGTGGGGATGAGGGGGTCCCAGTCAATTAGGCCCCACCCAGGACCCTCTGCTTCCCACCCTCCTCAATAAGTTGACAGGACGAACGGGAATCCTGGGCAGGTGACCTCCCTCTCTGAGCCTTGTGGGGTCCACTCCCCTCGGGCCTGGGCACCCAGGTCTGTCAAGGGGGCAGGAGCCCCCCGCAAGGGGCTCCACAGGATCAGAGAAGGCCTCAAGGTCACTGTCCCTGGAGCCCCAGAGGGAGAGGTGAAGACCAGAGTGTGTGTGTTGGGGGGGCGTATTTCTCAAGGACGTGAAAAAACAGCGACAGATGAGCCACAGGCCCCACCTAGAGGCAGTTACCTCAGGGACAGGGCCCTGGGGATGTCTGTAGTAATAAGTGACTGGAACTGAGGCAGGAGGACCTTCAGGACAGCCCAGCTCCCCTGAACGCCACAGCATTTTCTTCTCCTGCACAGATGACAAGCTGGAGCAGCAGCACTCCCTGTTTACACGCTACAAGGACCCCTGCCGCCTGGGGCCGGGGGAGGAGAAGCCGTGGGCCATCGGTAAGCGGGGGCTGGGGGGTGGGGGGGTAGAGTACCAGGAGCCACCCTCCTCCAGGTTGCCTGGGCCTTGCCTGCAGTGACCCCTCTCGTCCCCTCCTCCCCAGGTACCCTGTTGGACACCAATGGCCTCTATGATGAGGATGTGTGCACCCCTGAGAATCTTCAGAAGTAAGTACCGCACTGCTGCAAGCAGGTGGGGGACGTCCCATCCAGATCAGCTCCCAGGTTGGGGACAAGGGACCTAAGCCCAGACTCAGGCAGTGGAGAGACAGGAGCTGGGGTGGGAGCCAGTGAGAGCCTCTATTGGGCGGGAACCTGCCCCTCATCCTGGGAGAGCTGGGAGCTGGGCTGGCAAGCGGACCTCACGCCCCCACACCCACCCTCATTACCCAGGTGCTGGCCTTGCTGAGACTTCTCCAAGCAACCAGGGGTCTCCAGGGGTTGTGTCCTAAGCCAGCAGCCAGTCTGGGTCACTTTGCAAGAGCCCACCCTGCCCTAGGCCCAGCCAGGTACAAGGAAGGGACCAGAATTTCCCAGGGCCAGCCCAAGGGTCAACTCCTGTAGATAAGCCATGGGGTATGGCATCTGTTGAAGGGAGCCCAGTGGCTCGTACCAATTAGGCAATAAAATACCAGCAGAGATAACACAAGCCAATCATTCTCAAAGGAGAGACAGTTCCATCCCAGCCACATTTCATTTTGAGCCCAATGAGACTTCCATAAAGGACATATTTGAGGCCAACAGCAGAGCCAATTTATAATTCACAGCCCAAGATTGCACAGAGTCACGGTGATGGTTCTTTGCAGCTAATTTGAGCCAATTAATTAGATTATAGACTAAATTTGAAACATCATCCTATGCCGAGAAAATTATCTTTTTATGAGATGATTAAAAAATGACTATCAGTAACTCTCAGATCATTGATGCTGGAATTAATTATCAAAGGCAAAGGACAGTAATGGATTATATTTCTGGGCTGTAACAATGTCTGAATGTCATTAGTGTATTTATCTGAAGGCTGATAAAAAACCTTGTAGAAACCGTGTTTGCCGGCCATGCCCTCTGGGCGCCCCTTTCAGTCTGTCCAGGCATTAACTCATCTGGTGGCCTGTGTGGTGACTCTGGTGGCTGCACCTCCTGCCCCAGATGCCGGCCTGAGCCTGCCCTCTGTGATGGGGGCTCCCACAGGGGTCCTAAGCCACCTCCCCAATGGTGCTAAGACCCCAGGGGACAGGCCAGCCAAAGGGAGATGGGTACACTGTGTGTCCCAGGGCAACAATGCCAGAAAGAGCGTCAGAAGACCTGGATTCAGGGTGTCGCATGCTCCAGCCAGCACTTCATCTCCCAGCAGAGCCTTGCTCGGCTCTCGGCACCCACATGAGACTGCTCACTCTGAGAATGGGACAGCCTGTTCCCCGACGTCTTGAGGCCCACAACCACCATTCTAGTTTCAGAGGAGGGAATGGAGGCTTGGGGCAGTAACTGAAGGACAAAGCCACACGAGACTTGAGCCCTCGGATGGGGCATGGGCACTCTCCTGGTTCCCTTAGCCCCCTGCCAGCAGGAAACTACCCTCATGGGGGCTTCAGGGGCTTCCAAGAGAGAAGGGTCCCGAAACCTCATAGCAAAGACCAAGTTCCCCCAAACAGGCCCCTGTTGGCTCAGAGCAGAAGCCCGTTCTGGAGAGCAGGCAGGGGCTGTCATGTCTGATCCAGCCAGGGCCAGGAGACTTCGGAAAGGGAAACTGAGTCCTGGCCAGCCCAAGGTGGACACAGGACAACCTGTGAAAGGCCCCAGAGTGCCCGAGTCAGCCAGGGACTTGCAGGTTCTGATTCAGCTTCTCTCAAGGTAGGCCCTTTTGGACCCACACGGAAGACAGATCTTATACCCAGAGGTCTGGCCTGACCCCTCTGCCTCCCACTTTGGGAAGAGACCAGGGCCCCACACATAGGACCTGCCAGGCCTGCGAGCTGGCTCGGGGGCTCACCTGGCCGCGCGTCTGTATGCACAGGGTCTTGGAGAGCGAGGAAGGCCGCAGGGAGTACCTGGCATTTCCCACCAGCAAAAGCCCGGGCCAGAAGGGTCGGAAGGACCTGCTGAAGGGCAATGGCAGGCGCATCGACTACATGCTGCACGCCGAGGAGGGGCTGTGCCCGGACTGGAAGGCGGTGAGTCTGGGACGGGGCCCAGGCAACCAGGACTGTGCCCAGGGATAGCAGGACCCCGGGCCTGCAGCTCGCCATGGCACTGAGTCTCCCTTGAAACCCCGCCCCCCAGGCCACTCTCTTTGAAAACGAGACCTGTCGTCCCTCCGACCTGTAGGGCCCTGGGATCCTCCAGGTCCTCCCCTCACCCCACCTTCAGAAAGACTCATGCCAACCCCAGACCAGAGGCCTCACACCCAGGAACCCCAGGCTGAGCTCCAAGGCCCCCATTTAGGATACCCTCTGGGCCTAAACAGGATGCTTCTCCCCTCCCCCACTCAACCCAGGAGGTGGAAGAATTCAGTTTCATCACCCAGCTGTCCGGCCTGACCGACCACCTCCCAGTGGCCATGCGGCTGATGGTGTCTGCAGGGGAGGAAGAGGCGTAGACCAGCCACGTCGCCGCCGGCGTCCGGAGCTGCGGGGCCTCTGACAGCCCTCTGAGCCGCAGCCCATCCCTGGGCCACATCCCCTCTGTGGAATGCCCAGTGCTGCGGGGAGGAGGGCATGGACCGGGAGGGAGCCGGTCAGGGACCAGGAGCCTGGAAGCAGCGCTGCTCTGGGCCCTCACTGCGGACAGACGAGTCAGGCCGGCCCGGGGAGCACCCGGCTGCCTAACCAGTGCCATTCTTTCAAAACGTGATTTTCTACAAATCTACAGCACAACCTAGTTTGTAACCCGTGGGTTAGTATAAGGACCGGGTTTATGTACTCTTTGTATCTCTTCTTAAGCTTCGTCCAGGGTTCATTATTTTTGTCTGCTGCCAATGTTGTCTCGCATGCCTGCACCCTCGCATGCACGCTGCCCGCATGCCACGTGCCACGCTGTAGCCACACAGACCCCTTGCTCGGGCCTCACCCAAGGCCAAACTCCAAACACAATCAGAACCAGCCAAAGAAGCACTTCTTGGGCACGGCCGCCAGCTCTCCCAGCGTGGCCGCCAGCTCTCCTGCTCCAGCCCCGACGGCTCACTGCAGGGACCTGAGGGCTGTGTCTCTATCGCCAGCCCAGGGCTCTTCCCAGGGTCTTGCATTCAAGGGCGATTACATTTTAAAAAGAAAAACAGATTAAGTTAAAAACACAATCAACCCTTTACTTCAAAGGGTCTGCAAGTCACTCACAGAACTTTTGCTCTTCCTGATACAGGGTCCCTTCCCGCCCAGGCATGCCGGGGTCCAGCTGGCTCTGGCCGCCATAAAGCCTCCTCCGGGAGACTCGGGCCTGGGCAATGGAGCCATAAACGGGGAATCTGAGAGAGCACCTGCTTTTTTTTACAGGAAGAAGGGGACTCAGCATAAAGGGGGGTGGGAGGGCCTCATTTTGAAAATGACAGATTTATAACTTCTCTTCTATCAAAATCAACACATCCTCTTCTTTCTACCCTCCGGACACCTCTCTGGTTCGGGACCAATCCTTCCCTGGGGACTGTCCCCACCCAGTGCCGGCTGAGCTCAGGAACCGCATGCCTGCCCCCAGGTGGGGCTATGGCTCTGGCCCCCCAGGCCCATCCTCAACAGCTACCCCAGCCAACGCCAAGGCTCTGAAAAGGCAGGATGCCAAGGAGAAGACGGCCTGTTCCCTCACCAGTGTGCAGGCTGGGGTGGCAAGGCCGACAGCCACTGCCGGGCAGGGAGTGGTACTGGTTGGTGTCCAGGCACAGAGCCACCCTGCTACTGGGTCCCCCAGCTAAGCGTGGCAGAGCTGGCCAACAGCCCACGGTCCCCCATCTGCCTCCAGGCCTGGGGGAGGCCTGCAGCTCCCAGGCCCCCTCGGCAGCACTGCCTCTGCCCATCTGCCTTTAACAGACAATGGGGGCTGCTCCCCAGTCACGCGGCGAGGGTTTTGTCTGTTTCAAGGTGTAAGGCTCCAATTTGAGGGACTTTTTGACAACCCCAACTGGTCTCCCCTCCTCATAGCACCCCAACTTTATATCCAGCCTGGCTCAGAGCCAGCTCTACCTAGTGAGGCTGGAGGGAGCACCAGGGCCTGCTGTCAGCCTCCTGGCGCTGGTGCACTGACGCTGTGCCTTGTCACCCACTCAGCTGCAAGAGGGACTGAGGGGGCCAAGCAGCCAGCCAGACGACAGGCCCTGTGCCGGAGGACAGTCCTGCAGAGCCTGGTTAACTTTGCAAGGACACGCATGCACAGTGACACTGGGTTGTCTGAACCCACCTGACCTAGGGAGCACCCCCAGTGCCAGGCCCCTGCTCCCCAGCATCAGGAGCCAGGAAGGGGCTGCTCACGATGAAGGCACTCCTGCCTGGGCACTCTGTCCTGCCCCAGAGCCGTGGCAAGGCTTGGTGGCATGGAGGCCCCCACCCCAGGGTAGCCAGGACTCTGTACTCACAGGCTACAAGGGGAGCAGCCAGACCCATAGACCAGACCCCAGTGCACCTCCCATCACCCCAAGCAGCCTCCCCTCCTGGGAGTAGCAGGTGTGGGAGGCGGCCACATGCTTCCCTCCTCCCAGCTCACAGGGCGGCCTTAGGCAAGTCATACTGCCCTGTGCCTCAGTCATTCTGTCATCACAGGTCGCCTCTGCCTATCCAGGTCCTGGTGTCCAGAGCAGGGACATCCCGTCTCCCTGCTCCTCTCACACCTCCCTTATCACCAAGGCCACGACCACCCAACCACGTGTTCCATGTGATGTACCTGTGGCCTCCCAGGCTTGTGTACAAGCCAGGATTTTCCATTTTGATTTTTAAAAAAGACACAAAACATCGCCAGGATCTCAGTTTCTGTGGCATCTAAGGCCTGGGAGGAGGTGGACACAGGGTCACCCAGCTCCTAACTGAGGCTCTGTGCCTGCCCTGAGCCATCTCAAGGGAAGCCATGAGGTGGGGGTCCACTAGGAAGGCACTGTTCATTTCATTCATCCAAAACCTCCTTAAGTTTTAAGTATGAATATTAATCTTGATGCTTTTTAACTATTGTATTAACTTGCTGAGATTTAGAAATACTGTTATAAAAAAGAAAAAAACCCAACTTTTTAAATTTCTGTATTTTTTTTCTGTATTGTATCCTCATGGGACATTAGGGGTTTTCTATGGTAAGCACACCTGAGGTTTTGGTAAACACATTATCAAATATATATCCAGATGACTCTTCCCTAGAAGAAAAACAATCTTTACACCTGATAAAATATTTTGAAAAGAGAGGTCTTTTGTTTTGTTTTCCTTTATTGGTGCTGAAAGGAAGGATGGATACTGAGGTGAAAATAAAACTGTGAGGCTCAAGGCTGGCGTCCTCCAATTATTTTTGAGCTACAAGTGGGGGTTGGGCCCTGCTCTGGCTCCAGACTTCAGGGGCTGTGGGGAACTGCTGAGGGGAAATGGCCTTTCCTGCCAGAAGGACACAGCCCAAGAGTGCCCTAAAATGCAAAGACACCAGGCCATTTGGGGGTCTCTTACTAGGTGTCTCCTATTTCCTCTAAGCTTTGGGGCCTAAATGACAAAAAGGCACTTGTGTGGGAGAAACAAGGCCACAGCCTCCAGGGTTCTCTGGCCATCCCTGTGAAGCAAGACTGGGCTGGGCAGGGCTGGCTCTGCACTGTACCCATCTGCCCGGAGACTCTGGTGGGGTAGGGGTGGGATTCTGACCCACAGGAAAGGGCTGCACCTCCTGGCTCCCTTTCCTGACAGCTGCTCTCCTGGGTCTGCACCTCAGGAACTACCTGGAGACAGCTCCTCCCTATCCTCTGAACATCAACCAGCCTAGTGCCCAGGCCTGAATCCTGACAGGCCACCAGCTGTTGCTACACTGGGGCCAGAGCCCAGATGTCCATAACTGTAGCCTGGTGAAGTTACCCACAGGGCAAAAGGGCCAGAACACAGTCCTCTCAGCCCCCGCCCTGTCATTCAAACCCTGGGGACCCAGCCACGACTCGGCATTACCACCCTCCACAAGAACCTTCCTAGCTGGAGCCAGCCAGGCAGGGATTGGTAGATTCCAGAGAGCGAGAATGCAAGGCAGGCTCCTGCCACCGCTCTGCCCACCAAGAGCGCAGCATGGCAGCCCTGCGTGCGGCCCCAGCAAGACGCCTGAGCTTCGTTCACTTCCAGGTAGGGCGGCAGATATCACTGCCTTGGAGCTTCCCAAGCACCTCAGAACCACAAGCAGGGAGGTCTGGTCTCCCTGACCCCTCCAACAGCTCCGAATTTAGTCACCAGCCCATGTTGCCCACCACACCTGGAGCCAGAAGCTGGCAGTGCAAAGATGCAAAAACGGAAGGGGTCTCCTCCACGCCCTGAGGCCGAGCAGGTCCCTGGAGAGAGAGGAGCACGGTCCACCTTTCTTCCCCAGAAAGCCACGCACCATTCAGAGCCCGCAGCCTTGGGCTACTTTATTTCTCAAGTGAGGGTCAGTCCAAGGTGTCTGCGAGCCTGAACTCCATGGTGACATCTCCGGTGTGGGGGTGAAACTCCACAGTGTAGCTGACTGTCCGGGGGCCACACGGTGGCACTGTGGGATCTGGAGTGGCGCTGAAGAAGTACACGGCCTGCTTGCAGTGGGGGTTCCAGCGGCAGTGTCCCTGTGAGGGAGCAGCAGGAGGACGGTGAGGGCTCCCGGGCAACTGGGCAGCCTCCAGCCCAGGCACCTTGCAATGGGGAGAAGCTGCTCAGGGGCCAGGTGAGCCAGGGCCACTGGGGGCTTATCATCTGGCCTAAGAACTTGTGACAGGAACACCCAGAGCACAAGGGGTGGAAAGGCCTCCCAAGTGGCACCTGTTCTCCGGGACAGCACACACTTGGGGCCTGGCGCACACAGCACTACCTTGTCTCCCAGAGGCTCCAGGAGGCCGGTGCTGAGCATGCTGCCGGGCGCCAGCTGGTACTCCATCCACAGGACAGCCCCATGGCTACTCCCAGGCCTGCAGGTGTTGGGCCAAATAGAAACAGTCACACAAGAGACTGGGGGGGCACAGCCACAGCTCCCTCTGCTTTCCAGAAACCCCTGGTCTTTCTACTTCCTTCTCACACAGTCAGGAGGTCCCAACACTCTACCCAACACAGAAAAAGCTATGGAAGAACCAGTGCCTCAGGCTGAGGTCTAGAAGGCTTGAGTGCAGCCCTGGCTCCAAAGGCTGAAGACCCCTCCCAGACACCCCAGATGGCAACCCTGGGAGCTCTGGCTCTAGGCAGGTGATGGCATTTGCCTGTGCTGCCTGCCCCTTGCCCAAGGAGCCCTAAGGAGCTCTGGGCTCAGTTCCCCCAACCCCAACGCCAGTTAGAAGGTGGTTCTTCCTCAGGGAAGACACAACTCCTCTCCATGGAGGGAGCTGGAGCTGAGCCTCACCCGTTCCTAACCTGCTTTCATTCCCAGGAGAATTCGGGGAATAGCCCACTAGGTAGGCATAGTAACCAAGTTCACATGTCTCTGCAGCTGTGATCTGACAAGGGGGCCTCAGATGTGGGGCTGAGCATGGCCCACTCTGCTCTCCCTCCTCACACCCGCACGCCCAGAGCTGTGGGAGCCACTACACATGCAGGGCCACTTCTGACAGGGACAGGCAAAGACAAGGCAAGGAAGTGTCATCTGCCACTTGTCAGCATCTCCCAGGCCAGCTGTGCTTCACCATGTGGGTGGTAACTCCTAGGGCGCCCCCTTCCTGTGCCCCACACTCTCCGGAGCCTACACTCACCGCCTCAGTTCCATGGCGCCCTCGGCACGCATGGGCTGTTGGGGGACAGGCTGCTGGAAATCAAAGGTCAGCACATGCTGGGGCTCGGAGAGGCTGCGGCAGGGGTACTCCCACAGTGGGTGGGGCTCGGCCTCCTTGCTCTCTCTGAAGTCCAGGGCATGCTGAGAACAGAGATGGGGACTCAGGGTGTGCAGAGACAGAGTGATAGCCAGCAGGAAGAGGCCCCGCCTGGCCCAGGCGCCCAGGGTAACTGCAGTCATGTGGGTCAGGGGGTGCTCACAGAGGTGCTGAGCTTTGATGAGACCAGCGGGCTTCTCCCCTTCCTGCCACCGGTCAGCCAGCTCCTGGGCATCACTTCATTAAATGGCATCACTTCCATTTAAAAATGGATGACAGTGCCTCTTAAGCTATTCTGAGGACCAAATGTCTACATCATTATGAGAACACCTGGAACCTGGACACTTACCCGCAATGACTGACCACTACGGCTGTAAGACCCACCACCAGGAAACACCTGACAGGGCTGGGGCAGGTCAGAGGTGGACAGAGAACACTGCCTGTAGGAGGTAAGCTGCCAGTATCTACTGCACAAATGACCTGCAGGAACACTTCTTACACACCCCTCCCTTGGAGTGGAGTGCCCAAAATGAAAATGGCCGCCTCAGAAGGTCACCAAAGTGCCTTTTGCAAAGGTTGTCCCAACAGAAAACAAGCTGCTGGCACGGCAAGAGAAGTCCCAATGATGTGGTGACATACAGACCCCAAAGATCCCAACTCAGGGGTAAAAGCATGGGGCCAGGAACAGGCCTGGTATATACAGTGGCTCTTGGGCTAATGCTCATGGTGAACTAACCAAAATGGCAGCACCAACCTCACTGCCGCACACAGAAAAGCTCTCTGCATGCTGCCTCTGCTGGCCAAGCTGGGCCACTCTAGGGAAGCCAGATGTCCCTGTCAGAGGCCCGTGGCCATGTGGAATGGGTGGGTGGGGCACTGCTCAGAGCTGTGGCCCTGCCTACCTGAATCATGTCATCCATGATGTGCATGTCGAAGCCTTCACAGTCACCACAGGGGCTCCGGATCCGCCACAGGTCCTGTGAGGAAGGTGCGAGCCCTGTCTACACCTACCATGAAGACACAGCTGGCACCCACGCCTGCCTCAGGCGCAGGCAGTGTGGCAATGAGAACTAGAGGCACATCATGCTGCCCCTACACACCTGGAAAGGAGACCCCTAGGCTGACGGGTGTCAGAGATGCCAAAGCCCCAGGACAGTTTCTGTAACAGACTATGGGGGGAACTGCAAATCCTGGCATGGCACTGAGCCTTCTAGGAGGGCTCAGTCAGCTGGAGCACCCAGGCTGGGCTTTTACACTTCTTGCCCAACCCCTCTGAACACCATCTCTTTGGGAAGAAATTTATAAACCAATCCTCTGAGGCTCTGAGCCTGTAAACAGAGAACCAGGATGCTGGAAAGAGAAAAAGGTCCTCCAAGGGAGGAACCCAAGTACACTCAAGCCAGGCGACCTTCCCTCCTTGCTGCCTGGGACTTATGCTTGGGAATAGATGTTGATTGCGACACAACATCCCCTCTTTGGCCATGAAAACCAGAATTCATGTGGAAATCTGACTGGGTTAATAAATAACACAAAACAAATGCCCAGAAATTAAGCTTTAGAGCCATTAAACTACCAATAGTAAAGCCATTCTTATAAAAGAAATATCAAATGAGATTCACTCTACATTCCAGGTTAAAAGCATTTCAAAATCCTTTTAATAAAAAATGCCTTTCCCAAAATGACTTTGTGACTGTGGTTCTGCTTTGATGAGCAAATTAAAATGAAGCTTTTCAATTTTTTCCTGCATAAAGAAGCTGACTCTCCCATCTCAAAATGCTTTTAACAATTGGAGCCTCGGCTCTTAATGAGAGCAGAGAAAACTGCACAGCGTGTCTTCTGAAATGCTTAATTTATACTTTTTAATTATTCTGATAAGCCACAATTGTAAAATGTCAACACATAGCCATTTCCATTTCATATGTCAAATGGCTACATTTCATTTTTTTAAAGGCAGGTTTCTTCTATTCAGCCCACAGTGCACTGATCAGAAAAGAAAGGCTCAAATCATCGAGGCCTGAGTTGCTCTATCCACACCCAAGGTCTCTGCAAGAAAACAAGGTTCCCTACCCCTCCTGCTTTTGTTTTCTATAAAACGCTCAGGGTGGCCTACCCTGAACTCCACGACCACAGCGTGCAGCGAGGCAGCCTGGGGCATCACCACAGCACTGGGCTCCAGGTACCGGTCCACGGCTGTCCGGACGTACCAGAAGTACAGGTTGTGCCATGGCAGCAGGCTGGTGGTGAAGAACGGCTCCCCCAGGAGGAGAGAGACCTAGTGGTCAGGGCAAGAAGCAAGACCCAGGTGTCAAAAAGGCGAGCTGAGCAGTGAAGGACAGGTCCCAAGTTTCACAGGAACCTGGAAGTAACAGGCCATTCATTCGTTCACTCACTCGGTCAACAAACAAGCATGCCACATGTGTACCTGCCCTTGAGGACACAAAGAAGAGAAATAGATACGAGTCCTTTGCTCAGGAGTGCAGAGAGGAAGAGGGAAGTAGACAGGATAGGAGCTGTCCTCACCTGACAGACAGAAAGAAGGGGTGCATGGAGGGACCCCAGAGATAAAAGCTCCAGAAAGGGCTTCTAGAACGGCATCCTGTACATCCCCACTCAAACCTTTATCATCACAACTTACCAGTGCTTGTCTGTGTCTCCCTCACCAGGCTCTGACCACCACCAAAGTGGGGACACTGGCAGCCCCCAGCAAGGCACCCGACCCAGAGCAGATGTTCCGTGAAAATTTACAAATAAATGAACAAATGCAAGACCAGGGGGCAGAAAAGCCAAGGAGTGGGGAGAGGGTCCTCCAGGCAGAAGGACAGGCGAGGCAAGAGCAAGGCCCTATGGGAGCTTGTCAGGTGGCTGTGAAGAAGGTGGACAGGAGCCACACCACCCAAAGGCAGCTAAGGACAGGTTAAGGGGGCTGGACTTGCCCTGGAGACAAAAACGGAGCCACCAAAAGCATTCACCAGGAGTTCAGAATAGGAAGGAATGTGATGTGGAAGATCCCTATGAGGACCGTGATGTGTGTGGAGCTGGGGATGGGAGGTGACCCAGGTGAGCACTGTGACAGTCCAGTCAAGAAGCAGGGAGTCTGCAGAGAGAAAGGAGAGGAAGATGTGGCAGGTACTGAGGAGGAGGCCGACTATCCAGGGCTTGGGCTTGGGCATGAGTACAGGGCTAGGAAGAGATGACAGAGACGCAGCAGCAACACTGGAACACAGCCAAGGGCTGGCCCTGTGCACACCCCGCCCCCTGCCCCCAGCACTGGGCACAGGGCAAGAACACCTGCTCTTACCAATTGTATTCAATAGGGACCTGGAGTCTAGCCAGGGAACCACATAAATGACTTGCAGAATTTAATTATCTTCTATACCCTCATCTACGAGGGAAAAAAGAGCAACTTGTAGATAAATATTTATAGCAGCACTACTTACAACAGCCCCAAAGGAGAAACAACCCAAATATCCCTCCACTGATAAATGGAAAAATAAATGTGGTATATCCATACAATAGAATATTATGCAGCAATAAGAAATGAAGTACTGATTTATGCTACAACACGGACAACCTCTGAAAACATTAAGCTAAATGAAAGAAGCCAGAAATAAAGGACCACATACTGCACAATTCCTTTCTCATGAAACGTCCAGAATAGGCAACCCTATATAGACAGAAAGTAGAACAGTGGCTGCCCAGGGCTGGTGGGTTTGGGGACAAATGGGGAGTTGACTGTTAATGCATATGAGTTTCTTTTAGGGTAATGAAAATGTTCTAAAATTAATTTGGTGATGGTTATACCACTTCACTAATATACGAAAATCATAATTATACATTTAAATGAGTGAATTGCGGTATATGAATTATATCTCAATAAAACTGTTATTTAAAAAAAGACGTGGGAAAAAATGGGCAAAATTAAATAGACATTTCACCAAACAAAATAAACAGGATAGCTAATAAGCACATGAAAAGATGTTCAACATCATTAGTCATTAGGCAAATACAAATTTGAACTACAATGAGACATCACTGCACACCCACTAAAGTAGCTACACTAAGACTCAGCCTGAATGCCATAGTGAGACCCCCATCTCTACAAAAAAATTTAAAAATCAGCTGACCATAGTGGCATGCATGCATCTTAGTCCCAGCTAATCAGGAGGCTGAGGTGCCTCTCTTGAGCCACCACTCAAGACAGCTACTGTTTTGAGCCCAGGAGTTTGAGGTTGCAGTGAGTTGTGATGACACTACTGTACTCTAGGCCAGGTGACAAAGCAAGACCCTCAAACAAAAAAAAGACACAATACCACGTGTTGGTGAGGATACCAAGAAACTGGAAACTTCATACGTTACTGATGGGGGTGTAAAATGGTACAGCCACATTAGATAACAGTTTAGCAGTTTTTTTAAAAGCTAACCATAATTACCATACAATCCAGTGATTCCATGACTGGGCAACTGCCTAAGAAAACTGGAAAATATATCCTAACACAGGCTTATACACCAATGTTTGTAGCACTGTTATTCAATATAGCCAAAAACTGGATGGAAACAATTCAAATCTCCATAAGCAAGTGAAGGACAAACCAAACATGGCACAGACACACAATGGAACACTGTTCAACATTAACAAGGAACAAAATACTGACACATTTTTATAACACGGATGAACCTCAACGACACTATGCTCAGTGACAGGAGCCTGACACCAAAGCCCACATGACTCGTTATTTCACCTGTGTGAAGGGTCCAGAAAAGGCAAATGTATAGAGACAGAAAACAGATCAGTGGCTGCCAGAGCCTGGGGTAGGTGTGCTCACTGACTGCAAAATGGCTCCAGGGAACCTTGGGGGTGATAGAAATGTTCTAAAAGGAGATTAGGTGACAGCTGTATAACTCCATACATTTACTAAAAATCACTGGATTGTACACTTGAAATGGCTTCATTTTATGGTATGTCAATTACATCTTGGTAAAACTGTTATTTAAAAAAAAGGATGGCTAGAAGGATGAAAGATAACAGGCCACTTTGGAGGAGTCCAGTTTGAAGGGCCTGTGGGATATTCAAGGACAGACAGGCAAGAGATTTGAATCCAAAAAAGTAAAGAGTGAAGATCAACTCTGATGGTCACTGACTGCTGTACGGGCAGGGATGTGATACTGGAGAGGCTCAGCTAGAGAGGAGGGACAGGAGAGAGCACCACGGAACAACATGAGGGAAGGACCAAGTGAAGGGGAGATTGACATCGAGGAGCACCAGCCAGAAAGTCTAGATCAAAGGAACCTGGGGAAGAGTCTCTTGAGAGCGGAGAGCTCCGCAGGGCCACGAGGGCCAAAGGTGGAACAGACGAAGCCTGCAGGGAGGTCGTGGCTAGTAACAAGGTCCCTGGTGGAAGCAGTTGCAGGGCCTGGAAGACCAACTGAGTGGGAAGGCGTAAATGGGACAATGAAGACAGTGCAGCGAAGGGAAAAGGGGAGAGGGACGTACTCTTCTCCCACAAATCCCAACAGAGCTGCTCGGCCTAACCTTGAAGGAGCAGAGAGGAGCCAGAGTTAAGAGGAGTGCGATCATTTGCTTATTGCACAGCTCTGTGAAAGCCTCAGCACACCCCGAATGATGGCGACTTCCTGGCTGGCAAACTATGTGGGGGACCCACTATGAGACCCAGAGGACAGAGTGGTGCTCGGGTCTATCTCAGTCAGCCCTGTCCATGCTGACACAGCCTCAAGGCCACTGCCAGTCTCCTGCTACTCACCTTTTTGCCCTCGAGGTCTGCATTCGTTAATAACTCAGGCCGTTTCTCTATGATATTAATTTTATCTTCCAATTGGTTAGCCTTGAAGATCTTGGAAAAAAAACAATGAAATTACTGTATTGATACTTAAGTATTGTTTTTGTCTAGGAAAAAAACCTCTCAAAGTTACATTATCTGCTTCAAGTTTTCTGGCCAAACAATTCTGGAGCACCACATTTACTTGCTTTGTGGAAATTTCCCCTGCACCACCCTGAAGTGCAGCCTACAGACCAAGGATGAGAGCACAATTGCAAAATGTAGCAACAAAAGAAATTTCTACTGCAGGCTCATAGCAGGACCTAGCCCAAGCCTGCAGTTCTGGGGGAGGTAGGCTCCCCTTTGGAGAGGAAATCAAACCAATCACTGGCTGGGGGAGAAATAAATACCATCTTGGATTAGAAGCAGTGATTTCCTGGGCACTGGTGTCACAGAAATGCATCATACATTCAGTTCTACCACTGCAGAGACTTCAGTTTTCTTAGTTTTATGTGAAGAGAAAAGCCTGAAGTTCTTCAGCCACAAAAGAGTACAAACATTTGTGTCTATTTCAATGACAGCCCTAGCTTCTGAGCCGTTCTCCAGGCAGGAGCCAAGACAACGGAGAGCAGTTCTCGCTGGCGGCTGCCACCCAGCTGCCACACTCCATTCTCTCACTGCTGACTCTGCTTCAAAGCCAGCGATCCCAGACTCAGAAAGGAAGGCCCCCCAGCTCCCCTCATTATTTCAGTAACAACAATTATCACTTACTTTTTTCATCAGTTTATGAGAAGCTGCTGAATTTTCAATTGTAAATACCTAGAGAGAACACCACACTATCAGTTCTAAGAGATTCACTTAGTAGGGGAAGAAATTAAAAGATTAAAACGTGGCAAGATCATTCAAGGCAGAGGACAGCACCTAAGCAACGCTACCCGTGCTCAGTCCCTACCTGGGACAGTACCTGCATTGTGCAGGGGCCCCATAGAACCTGAGCCGCGGCTCCATGGCAGCACTATGGCCCGACTCCTGCCTGCACACACAGGTGATAAAACCCCTCAGCCCCGAGCCACGCATGCTGCACACACAACGGTGGCATCTGCAAAGAGCTCCAACTGCAGGACTGCATACAGGGACTGCCTTAGGAATCTGACAGAAGGGTATAGGCCCAGTACCTGCTCTGCCCCAAGGTGATGGGCCAGCATGGGGAGCAGACTGCCGTCGCTGACACAGAGGCACACGCTGCCTGGCTTCAGCATCTGCAGGGGGAGAGCAGTCTCAGCACAGGGCTTCTTCGGGTTTGTCAGGAGATTCCTGTCAGAGCTGACAGAAACACCTCCCTGCTCCTTGACCACTCGCCCAGACTCTGGTTGTGAAATCTGATCTTCCCCTCAGCCCACCCTTCCACCGCAGGGCTGGATCCTCCTGTGCCCCCGTGTGACCATGCTTACCTCCCAGGCCCCTGCAGCAAACACCCTATCCTCACAGCCCTCGAGAATGTCTCCCCACACACCCTACTGTCAGGAGAGACCTTCAACACAGGCCAGAAGGCCCGGAGGTAAGCCTGCCCTACCTGCCTGGAGGAGGCCACCTCCCAGTCTATGACAGGCTTCTTCCCTGTCTGGTGACAGCACAGATAGCTGTGGACCACTCAAGGCTTAAGTGACTCTTCAAAGGAAGGGATTTTTTTATGGGCCCCAGACTCCTCTGAGACAACCTTTGGAGGGCTTGGATCTTTCTCCACCACCCAAAATGCATGCATGTGCACGTGTGCACACATATTTCTGTACACAACTCCAAGGAGCCCAAGAGACCCACCTCTACTCCTGTCTGTGGTCCTCAGGCTGAGTCCCCTGCTATAGGTAGCAGGGAGCAAAGGTTTATAGGCAAGAAACTTGCATGATCAGATTTACATTTTAGAAAATTTTATAAAGTTAGCAACAGATTAAAAGAGGAGAGGTGGTAGCTGAATCCACTGGGATCACCCACACCAAGTACTAGTGCCCACGAGGGCAAAGGCAGGGCAAATGCAGGGGCAGGGGGAGGCTCCTAGCCAGAGGCTGTCACAGAACAGCAGAGCAAAAGCCCTTCAGGAAGTCCAGTAACAAGCGCTCCGGCAAGTGCCCACCCCAGGAGGAGCTCGCTGAAGCCACTCACAGACGAAGGAACACAGAAACCTAAATTGGCATAATAAGCAGAGTGCTGGGGCCCTGGAACAAGCTCCTTCTTGCCCACCGTAAGCCGGACACTTACAGTCCTCAGGGCCTGGGTGTACTGATCAGTTCGGTTCTGATCATTGATCTCTCCAAAACGAGGCCGGGTCCAGAGCAGGTGAGCCTGGCAGTCACACACGGGGCGCATCTGGTGGACTCTCACGTTCTTTTCAGGGCTAGGCCAGGAGATGAACAGACACAGGCGACAAACACATCTTCAGGACTCCAGCAGGCATGAGTCTGGACATTGGTTCTTGAGTAAGCTTTAGAGGTTGGAGGAACCTCCAACTGGAAACTTTTCACATGTGTCTACTCTAAACGGAGTCCAGAGACTCATGACGACCTTTTTGTACACACAAATGGGCACTGACACACCCAGTCACAAACCTTTGCTCTTATTTTGTTCTTTTCAGATACAAGTGGGCCCATTCACATCTCTATGGGGAATTTACATAAATGCAGTCTCAAAGGCCCAGTCCTCCACCCCTACGAGGCTCGGGCATACCTGGTCGTCTGCAGGCTGTACCATACACAGTAGTCATCATGGTGGGCTACCAGGCAGAGGGCTGAGCCCTGCACAACAGGCTCCTCTTGTGGCAGGAAGTACACACACTGCATCCAGTGGTCCCGCCACTGAAATGGGGAACAGAGAGTCAGCTGTCAGGAAGCTACAACAAGAGCAATGCTTCTTATCCAGTAGCCAAATATCAGTTTTCAGGGAGACCATGATGTATGCTACAGCTGGCTACTATGGCCAAAGAGACATTAAAAAAAAAAAATTCTCAAGTCAGACCAGCAGCCCAAGAGCCTGCTGGAACACTGCTGGCTTTAGGAAGACACAATGTGGCCAAGGGCAGTGGCCTTTCAGGGTTTCTCAGGGGAATGGACAATTGCAGTCTCCAGCCCCTACCCAATCAGAGCAGCAACAATGCTCTCTCTTCGCCATGAGGGTGTGCTTAGTGTTTCACTTGAAGGGAAAAAACAAAGAGTTTAAAGCTCGTGATCTGGAGGGGACCCGATTATGTATAATCCCATGGCACACATTCCAAAAGCTTTAACAACTAGAATTTTGCCTTAGAAGTGATTTCAAAACACAAAAAGATCAAATGTAATACATTAAACTTAACTGGATCCTAGATGGAGGAAAACAAAGGCTACTAAAGACATTTGGAGAAAATTAATGAAATTTTATTTTAGACCATATGTTAGATGATATTATGGAATCACTGTTAATTTCTTAGGTGTGATGATGATATCCTGCTTATACTGGAGACTGTTTTCATTCTTAGGAGATACATGTTGAAGTATTTAAGAGTAAAGTGCCGTGTGTCTGCAATTTATTTGCTTTTTCTTTTGTTGTAGAGACAGATTCTCACTATGTTGTCCAGGCTAGTCTTGAACTCCTGGCCTCAGGTGATCCTCTCGCCTTAGCCTTCCAAATTGCTGGAATCATAGGCAGGAGCCACTGCACCTGACCGGCAACTTACTTTCAATTTAGCAAAAAACTGTGTGTGTATGTGTGTGTGTGTGTGTGTGTGGAGAGAGACGGAAGAAGTGGGGGAGGAAGCAGAGAGAGAAAGCAAATGTGGCAAATGTTAACAATTGACAAATTTAAGTAAAAGAACTATTGGTGTTCATTTTTACTTATTCTATAGATTTACAATTTTTCAAAATAAAAAGTTGGGAAAATAGTATAGAAAGGTTTTGTTTGGTCTGTTCCTTGAATTAAATGAAGTTTTCAAAGAACTAGAACACTCTAAATTGTGAGACATGGTTTATGAAGAACCCGAGTAAACTTTTAATAAGCTGTGCTGATCCCTACTACAAACCCTATGTATAGGATTCTATCCTAAGAAAAACTACACAGAACAAAAAAGGAAAAAGCTATATTCACATAAATGTGCAAATCACAGAATTATTTATACTAGCAAAAACTGGAATCAACCCAAATGTCCAGCAGCTCAGACTTGTATATATACATCCTCCTGTGGACTACTCTCAGACATTTAAATGATGACTGTGAAGGCTATGGAACAGCATGAAAAACACAGAGAAAAACATTGACACAACCCACTCATTTGGAAAGACACCAAAGAAAGGCAGTTATTTTGGGTGGCAAGACCACAGTGATTTTTAACTTATTTTTGTTTTATATAATGAAGTTTATTACTCTTACAATTTTTAAGCCTCTTTTTAAAAAAGAAAGAACTGTCCTAAAAGGTAGATGCCTGGCTCAACTCACGAGACGACCACCTACACATTCTCTGTCATCTTCAGGAACTAACAAAAGAAAACTTGACCGCAGTAAGAAAGCAAGGGCATGGCTTAGCACATAAGAACATGTCCTACCCACATGGTCTTGAATTTAACAAAAAGACAGGTAAATAACATTTCCATGTATGTTCCTATTTGAACATAACAGGAAGAAAATGCAAACCCAACCAGATATACTCTGAAAAAAATAAGTAGAAACAAGGAGGATAAAACAGGTTCTCTTAAAAACAGTTATTCATCCCCACACTATGCAAATTTAGCCTTCATGAACCCTCCATGCTCCCATGGTGCTTCCCTGTCATCAGTTCTCCCCACACTCCCCACCACAGGAACCTCCTGGGGCCTAGCGCTAAACAGCTGGTGACAACCCACTGTGCCAAAGCTAGACAGGCTAAATATATTTAGGATCAAAAGGGTTTCATGAATGCATGAGGAAGATTCATTAGCAGTTTTCAAATTCCTAACAATCTAAAAGTCATCACTGGTAGAGAAAGGACACAAGACCCACTCCACTACTTCCTAGACACAGGCCCTGCTCCAACCCCTGGAGCCTGCTGGGTCTCAGTTTGGGTGCTGCGGTGGTTACCCATATGTCTCACATGAGGATTCAAGGAGAATACACATACACAGTAGCTTTGAAGATATGTAAAGTACTAATATTTAAATTATATTCTTTTGCTAAATTTGCAACCATCATACTCCTGGAGAGGAAGAATGCAATCCAGTGCCAATCTCAACTCTGTGGGTGAATTCTGAGTGACTCACTCACACCACACACACAACAGAGGCCTTGCAGGACACCAAGGCGGTAGAGGGAAGTTGGCACACACTGGCTGGATGTCCACCTGCCCACCTGGGGCCAGGCAACTGGAAGGTAAAGTAGAGACTGAGTAGCTCCCGACCTGAGTAGTAACTCAGGGAGGGGCTGCAGGAGCTGCAAAGGCCTCCCACAAAGTCATTATTATGTGCACCTAGAACCGACAGGTAAGCAACGAAAACAAAAGCCAGTGGTAAACACCAGGCAGGCTGGAGACAGAACACACAAAGGAAAGTGCCTAGGACATTTTTGGGTAAAGAGAGGAGGTTTTATTTCTCAGCCCTGAAACACCTTTCCTGCTTTCTGTTCTTTGAGTATGTGTGTTGGGGGAAAGGAGGCTATGTAACATGCACATGAGAGGAAATTCAAAAGATACAGGACATATAGTGGAAAAGAAGTTTCCTTTCAGCCAGGTGAGGTGGCTCACTCCTGTAATCCTAGCACTCTGGGAGGCCGAGGTGGGAGGATCGCTTGAGGCCAGGAGTTTGAGACCAGCCTGAGCAAGAGCGACATCTGATTTCTACCAAAAATAGAAAACGTTAGCCAGGCTTGGTGGTGTGCACCAGTAGTCCCAGCTACTCAGGAGGCTGAAGCAGGAGGATCACCTGAGTTCAGGAGTTTGAGGTTGCAGTGAGCTGTTATCATGCCATTGCACTCTAGTTGGAGCAACAGAGCGAGACTCTGTCTCCAAAACCCCTAATTTCCACTCCTCTTCCCAGAAGCAAGCATTTTTACCAATTTCTGGGAATTCTTCCAAAGATATTCTTATATACACACCACATATAACTATACACTCATAAACACATACACTCTTAATTCTACTAATACCAATGTTGGTATACTACATATAGTTCTACACCTTTATTTTTGTTTTACTTAATAATACATCCTGGTGATTGTTCCACATCAGTGCAGAGAGAGCCACCTCATCCACTGAAAGGATAATGGACTTAGTCCCTACTAGTGGCCTTTAGGTTGTCCTTTTTCTACTAAACCAGGGCTGCACACACATTCATTCTGCACGTATGCCAATCTATCCAGAGCCCAACATCTAGAAGTGGCATCACTTTCCAACCTGACAGAATGGGCCACCCTGTGCTCCATGAATGTCCTGGCAATTTTCTTTCCTGCTCTTTCTCCAAGCTTTACCAACACAAAGTGCTATCAAACTTTTAAACTTTATACACTAATAGATGAAAATGATATCTCATTGTAGTTTAAAGTTGTGTTTCTCTCTCTCTCTCTCTCTCTCTCTCTCGACAGGGAATCACTGTGTTGCCCAGGCTGAGGTGCAGCGGCTGTTCACAGGAACAATCAGCACACCATTGCCTCAAACCCCTGGGCTCAAATGATCCTCCTGCCTCAGCCTCCGGAGTAGCTGGGACTAGAGATGCACACCACTGTGCCTGGCCAGAGCTGCATTTCTCTTTTATGAGTACTATCCCACGTACTCTGCATCTCCTTTTCTGTAGTTCATGTCTCTGCCCGCTTTCTATTGAGCTGGAGAAGGTGGATGTTGAGGCTACAGAAAGTGAGGCTGTGGTTCTCCATTCCAAGCTGATGTGAGCCCCCTGGAATTGGTGGGGTGGAGGGGAGAGTGAGATCTAAGAGTGGCTCTGCCAGCACAAGGGAGAGACAGGAGCTAACTCACCAGAGCTTCTCTGTTGCTCACCATGTCCACGAGTGCTGACTATGAATTCGCCCTGAGAGGGCTGCCTTACCACAGCTAGCCTTTGCTTTCTTTTTAAAAACTCTTCTTGGCCTTTGATTCTGACATAGTACATTCTGTCTCTAAATTCTTGACTCTAAGGTTCAACTGCTACTTTCCTACAACCATGGACAAGTTTCCTGATTCACATGAAAACATGCTCAGCTCCTGCCTCTTACCTGGAGCCCATCTGGATCTGAGTGTGCCCAGAAAGGGGCCATGGTGCACTTGATCTTCCCCTCAGGGTCCATTTCAATGTCCCACCACGAGAGAACCACCTGAGCTTGGCCAGATGCCAGAGGTTCAAACTGCCTGCTATGGCAGGCTGCTGAGCTACTGACTTGCTTGCTGAAGTCCACACTGTGGAAGAATATTCAGGAACTTAAGCATATTTTAACCTCACACACTCCATTTTTAAGCTTTTACTGTGACCTCAACAGTAACGATACTTGGTTGCAAGGGACTATTTCTTTCAGAGGCAGGTGACATCAGCTACGTTTCCTTCCCACTCAGAAAGAACCTCCAAAGATCCAAATTCCATCAAATGTCTCAAAGTGCCAGCATCAGGGATGGCTCCTTGGTACCTGAACATAGGCAGCACATCACTGAGGACTGTGAAGTCGGCTAGTGACACCTGGTTCAGCTGAATGTCATAGACGGAGGGTGCGCCAGGGCACCTTTCCACTTCCAAGGGAGGGACGATGACCTGCTCTCCAAGGCTGGTCTGAACACGGATAGGAAAGAGCTTGTTCCACGACCACATCCTTCTGGACTCTACCAGCTGTGCATAGACGGTTGCTCGGTGAGGCACTGCCTCACAATTTTCCTATGTTTATATTAAAAAACAAAACAACAACAACAAAAAAATTAGGTACTCAGACCCAGAGTGATTCCTATTGATCAAAAGAGGTTTATTCATTAATATTAGGTCAGTTTGATAACATCTAACACCTGACTACTATTAGGATAGTGAATTGTTTTCTGCCCTGAGCCCTCAGGAAAGAAAAATAAAGGAACCAGATTTTAAAAAGAATACACATGATGCCTAAAATGATGTGTCAGATAAGTTCCTAGCTACCTGGCACTCTTAAATACTTCAAAAATAAACCTTAACTGTCATCACACTGATGAACTCCCACACTGACATCAAAAAAGAACACAATTCTGACTGCTAAGCAGTCGTGTCCCTTTCAGTGACGCTCTGTCCTGGCACCAGAACCAGAACCAGAACCTCCTCATTGCAAAGCCCAATGGACAACTGTCCACCCTCAACTGACCTGACCTGCTGCCATCACCCAGCACTACTGAGCGCTCATCTCACACAGCTGTGGCTCTAGCGCCTTGTCAAAATTTCCTTGTCAAAATACTTCGTTCATTCATTCTACATCCTCTAATACATCAGGCACCAGGGACCCAGTGGTGAAGAGGACACTTGCAGCTGCTACCTGCATGGAAATTACAAGTACCGAGTGTCTCTACCTTGGCACTACGGGCCTCTTGGGTCAAATGACCTTTGTTGTGGCTGTTCAGGCACGGCAGGATGTTTAGCAGCATCCCTGGCTACTCAGTTGCTTCCTTCCCACTCAAAAAGAACCTCCAAAGGCCAAATTCCATCACATGTCTCACAACCACTGCATCTCCAGACCTTGCTCTGGTGCAGAAGCGCCCCTGCAGCCAAACTCTCACTCCCCATCTCCTGCCAAGGCTGGGCTTCCTCTGCCCACCTCATGAGGGGGCTCCCCAAGAGCTGGTCTGGACCTTCTTTGACCCTCCACTCTCTTCCCGCGGTGACCTCAGCCACTCCCTCTTCATCTACCAAATCCATGGTCTAAAGGCCTCTTGGTCCTCTCTACTTGGCTGAGCTTTAGATAGCTCAAACTCTGTATGTCCAAACTGGCCAGCTCACCCTCCCTCCTGCTCACCTTCCCAGTGCTACTCCTTCTACCGTACTCCTAGTCAGCAGGGAGCACCAAATTCCAACCCAGATGCCCAAGCTCCAAACCCTTGCCCCACTCTCAATGCCTCCACACCTAAGTAACTGCCAAGTCCTATGACCACCTCTCAGGCCTATGTCTATGGCTGTGGCCCACTTCATCTCAGCACCGGCACGACTCCTACAGCCTTTTAACTCACCTACAGCCTCTGGTCTTGCTCCCAATGGCTCTCTCCAAGACTGCCTGCCTAAATCTGCCTTTAATCCCCTGCTTCAAACCCTCCCACCACCACCCTGCCTTCTGGATGACACCCACCCACCACCCTTCTCGACCTAGCCCCCATGCAGCTCCCTGGCCTCATCTCTACAACCTCTCATGCCTCCCACGCTATACGAAATCTACTGCACCAATTTATCATCACACCTTGTGCATGCTACTCTCTGCTGCCAGCAACACTGGCCTCTGACCACTTTTTTTCAACACCAACTCAGCTCAAGCATCTTCTTCCTTGATGCCCTCTCTGCAGCACGGGCAGGACCTCACCTGCACCAAGCACCATCAAAGTGTATCCCAATCTGCACTGTGATGACCTGTTCACCTAGCTGCCTCCCCCGAGGCTCCCTTCACAGCCCTGCTACACAAAAAGGGGCCTGGCAAGATAAAGGTGTTCAATAAATGTGTCTGCTGAGATCGATTGCTGGGTCACTTCAACAACCATGGGGACAATGTGTCTGATACCCAAGCATCCTGGTTCCATGACCTCCAATAAAGTGGGAAGAGGGAAGTCTTCATGGACCAGCTGTAACTCCTTCAGACTCTTAGGGTGGGAAGCCCAGGCTAGCAATCAGAGTGGACAATGGACGCCAGGCATCCCATAAGGGGAAACTGAGGATGGCTGCCTGCACACCTTTTAAATAAGATCAAAAAAAGACAAACTGGGCACCATGAACAGAATTCTAAATAGCCTTGTTTTCTGTTTTAGGGATTCCTCTAGTGGTTTTTTTTTTGAGACAGAGTCTCACTTTGTCGCCCAGGCTAGAGTGAGTGCCGTGGCGTCTGCCTAGCTCACAGCAACCTCAATCTCCTGGGCTCAAGCAATCCTGCTGCCTCAGCCTTCCAAGTAGCTGGGACTACAGGCATGCGCCACCATGCCCGGCTAATTTTTTCTATATGTATTAGTTGGCCAATTAATTTCTTTCTATTTATAGTAGAGACGGGGTCTTGCTCTTGCTCAGGCTGGTTTCGAACTCCTGACCTCGAGCAATCCACCCTCCTTGGCCTCCCAGAGAGCTAGGATTACAGGCATGAGCCACCGCACCCGGCCACCTCTAGTGGTTTTAATGTGGAGAAACAGAGATTCTTACTACTGATGCTGATAGCTAAAAATGGTTGATTGTACTGTCGAGTCAATGAGATATCCAGCACAGTGTGGGGTTCTGGAGAACAGTCCACACCACAAGTTGGCCTTGTGGACTCTGGCCCTGAAAGGAACATCCCCTCCTTCACTCCGGGGACACCCAGGACTGCCACAGAGGGTCTGGCTGGGACAGCTATAGGCTCGCATGGACCATGCCTGCCATGCAGACACCAACAACGGAAGAAACAGATGCTCTCCCCTCTCCAGCTGGTATTTGCCCTCAACCTCCACCTCCAGTTTATCTCCATAAAAAAGACTCAAAAATTGTCACCGTTCCCTCACCTGGAATGTCCTGGCAGTCAAGGCCTTCCAACCTCACTCCATTCTCCACCATCAGCCCACAAGGCCTCCAGGCTGGTGTTCTCACTGACCTACCAAACAGGCCCTCTACCTAGAACACTTCTCTCTCTTCAGTGCCTTTCCAAATACCACCGTCTCCATAAATGCCTGAGCCCTGACCTCTTCTGCCAGTCCCAAACCAAAGGTCTGCGGTGTGTCCGCCTAGCCATTCAGCCATTCAGCCCTCACCACCACTGCTACTGTGGGTCTTAGAAGCAAGACAGTGTCTTAAACTCTTCCCTGGATACTAGAACACCTTATACACAGTAGACACTAGAAGAATATTTGCTGAATTTAAGGATTCAGAATCGAAAGAACTGCCTTCCAGCTCTAACCTATCAAGACTTACCATTGAGAGGACACGAAAGTCACAATGGAGAACCAGAGCCTCCCAGGATTTGAGGGGTGCTCCAGAGTGCACAGAGAGGTACTGAGGGCTCAGGCTGTGCTGAGCATAGTGCATCAATGAGTGCTGTGTGAGCCGGCTAAAACCACAGCAACAAGCCCAAGGGCAGCCCTGGCCCATTCATTACCTGCACGAGATGCCTGTGTGCGTGCTCATAGGAGGGCAGTGCCCCCTCCCCAATCAGTTCCGTGTCAAAGAGCTCTGTGACCAGGATGTTGGCACGGCACGGCATGTCACCATCTGAAAAACACAAGGAAACAAAGTCAGAAGCAAGCAACACACTAGGAAAAATATTTACAGCAAATATGTGAAAGATAAGAGGTTAACAGGTCATTACACCGAAAGTACATACATATGTTCAAGTACTCAGTAGTGTCGTGATGTCTGCAATTGACTTTCCAATGGCTCAAAAAAAATCTATATGTATGTATGTATTGCAAAATGCTACACTGGTAATCTAGGTTAATGGAATATGAGTGTTCACTGTATTATTTTTTTAACTTTTCTGATGCACTTCTAGTTATCTGCGGTATGTCCAGCTGTTAGTCTGGCTATCCTTCCCAGAACTGAGATCCATGATTTAGAACCCCCAGATTCTTCATAGTATATCCCCTTAATTAAGTTAGTGTCTTGCAACCAAACAATCTCCCAAATAACATTTGTTTTAGGATAGTAGGATTGTGGAGGGTTCTTTTGTCAACTCTGTTTTCTAAACCTCTATAATGTAATGGTACTTCTACAATTATAATTTTTAATGAGCCAAGAGACAAAACAGACTTTGGAAAGGACTATTCATCATGGAAAACCAACTGTAAACACTTTAAATGGCTCATGAATTATAATTTGACAAAGCCCACTCATCTTCCCTACAGAGGACAAGTCTCACAGATGATGCAAGAAAAGAGAAGCCCTAAAGTGGTTCAATGAAGGCTGTAACAGAGAGAGATCAAACCTCGTGTACTGGAGACCTGGGCCTGAATCTCACTTTCTAGCCCTGAACCCTCAATTCTGACCATCAGTTGTCACATCAGTAAAAGAGGGGTAATGAGCTCTGTATCATGTGGTGGAGGTTAGGATAACAAAGGTAAAAATGTACCCTACTCTTCCTATGACATACACTTGTGCTCCATGGCAATATAAAGTACAAAGGAAGTTAGAAAGAAACTTTTGCCTCCTGGCACAGAGACCACCATCCCAAGTGCCCTGCCCACCCTCTCTGACATCATGCCAAACTCCATCTGAAACGCACTGTCCACGACCGACCCCACCCCACCCCCACAAACCTGTTTCTGACTCATTGAACGGCATCACCAGTTACACCGTCTAGAAACCTGGGAGTCATTTACTAGCTCCGGGAGAGCAGTGCCCCTGACTGCCTGCTCACCACTACCCCAGTGCCTAGAACAATGCTTAGCACCCAGTTATGGTCTACAAACACTACTGAAGTCTTGACTTCTCCCTCTCTGTCACCCTACAGCTAATCAGCCCTGCCAATTCTACCTCCTGAGTAATTTTTAAGCCAATTATGTCATTTTAAATGATTTATTGTCCAAATTTGCTTCATCAACAAAAACAAAGCTTTATGATCCAGTGAGTTTTAACAAATACTTCCTGAGAGCCTTGTGTTTAGCACATGAGTGCTAGTGTATACAGGTGCAGAGAGAGCCCGAAGAGGGCAGGTAACCCAGGTGCTTCTTAAGTCTTTGCCAAATGTATGAAAAGGATGGATGAACAAATGCTGCTCCTGGAGTCGGCTGCTACACACGCCTCAGTGTGCACTGTAATCCATCTCTGGGGAACAGGCAATAAACTTAGATGCCATTTTTTTAAAGGCTGGGAATAGAACCTTGGAGAACACACATTTTGGGAGCAGCAAGCAAGCAACACAGGAGAACCAAGATTAAAAGATATCACTGAGGCCTGGGGAGGGAGTTCCAGGAAGGACTGGATGACATAAGTACCAAAGCTGCAGTGGTTTGAGAGGAAAAGCAGAGGGAAGACCACCCAACTTGGCAATGAGGTAGTCGCTTGCCAAGCTGCAGGACTGGAAACAAAGTCCCATTCACAAGTAGTCATAGCCCAAGCAAGGTTGACAATCTACTCACTAAACAAAGATAACTGAATTCCTTTATGTGCCAGGCCCTGGGCAAATAATGGAATGGAATAATTAACAAGATCCACATAGTCCATGACCTGATGCTGCCGCAGCTGTGTGAGAATATAGACATTCAATACATGATTATATAATTATTTAATTATTACAGTGATAAGCACTACAAAGAAAAAGTATTAAGGAAGTAAGAGGGGGCTGGCCAACCCTCAGTGGTTGCTCACTGGGTATGTGTGAGCAACCCAGCCTAGAGGAAGGCATGGGGCAGAGAGTCACAGAGAGAGGGCTGCAGGGCATGGCTACTCTGCAGGTCAGTCTCGATGCTATTAAAACATATATTAGGTCATTAAATATGAATGTCTGATTTCAAATCAAAAGTGTAGTTTAGGCCGGGCGCGGTGGCTCACACCTGTAATCCTAGCACTCTGGGAGGCCGAGGTGGGCTGATTGCTCGAGGTCAGGAGTTCAAAACCAGCCTGAGCAAGAGCAAGACCCCGTCTCTACTATAAAAAGAAAGAAATTAATTGGCCAACTAATATATATATAGAAAAAATTAGCCGGGCATGGTGGTGCATGCCTGTAGTCCCAGCTGCTGGGGAGGCTGAGACAAGATTGGATTGCTTGAGCCCAAGAGTTTGAGGTTGCTGTGAGCTAGGTTGACGCCACGGCACTCACTCTAGCCTGGGCAACAAAGCGAGACTCTGTCTCAAAAAAAAACACAAACGTGTAGTTTACTATATCTCAAACAAGAAGCAATACAATTAATCAAAGAATGTGCCTAAACTATCGACACAGTTTTTCCATCTTAACAGTATTTTGCTTATAACAGCAGTGAAGAAGGCTAGAGAGCCAGTGGTGATGAGATCGCAAAAGGTATCTTCCTCAGCGTGTTGAGAATTGAATATTTTTCCTTGCAAGAAGTGGTCCAAAGCCTGGAAGAAGTGGTTAGTCAGTTGGTGCAAGGTCTGGAGAATACAGTGGATGACAGAGAGTTTCCAAGTCTAGCCTCTGTAGTTTGAGCAGTGTTTTTTTTCTTTTGTTTTGTTTTTTTTGCAACGTGGTCTTGCAAGAGGATTGGCCTGTCTCTACTGACCAATCTTGGCTGCTGAATCACAAGCATCCTCATCATTTCATCCAACTGGTTGCAGGAGACGTCTACTGTAACCAACTGACCAGGTTTCATAAAGCTGTAGGGGATAATACCAGTGCTGGACCACCAAACAGAGACCATGACCTTTTTTTGATGAATATTTGGTTTTGGACTATGTTTTGGCACTTCATCTTTATCTGACCATTGTGCTGAATGCTTGTGATTGTCAAAAAGAATCCATTTTCATCACACATAACAATGCTGTGTAGAAATGGTTCACCTTTATGTCAGAACAACAAAGAAAGGCAAGATTCAAGATTTCTCTTCTGATGCTCATTTAACTCATGTGGTACCCATTTATCCAGTTTCTTTACCTTGCCCAGTTGTTTCTAATGGTCCAATATCTTTGAAATAGGAATGTCAAACCTTGCTGCTAATTCACATGTAGGATTCATTTCCACTACAGCTTTCAGCTCATCATTATCCACCTTGGCCTCAGGTCACCCACATAGCTCATTTTCAAGATTAAAATCATCAGAATGGAACTTCTCAAACCATCAGCGTACTGTACATTCATTAGCCACATCCTTCCCAAACATTTTGTTGATATTTCAAAGCTGTCTGTGCTGCGCTGGTTCTATGGCAGAACACATATTCAAAAGTAACATGAATTTTTGGTTCACAAAAATTGCTCTAAAAAATTTTTGAGGCTGGGTGCAGTGGCTCACGCCTCTAATCCTAGCATTCTGGGAGGCCGAGGTAGGAGGACTGCTCGAGGTCAGGAGTTCGAAACCAGCCTGAGTAAGAGCGAGACCCCGTCTCTACTATAAATAGAAAGAAATTAATTGGCCAACTAATATACATAGAAAAAACCAGCTGGGCATGGTGGCGCATGCCCGTAGTCCCAGCTACTCAGGAGGCTGAGGCTGCAGGATTGCGTGAGCCCAGGAGTTTGAGGTTGCTGTGAGCTAGGCCACAGCACTCGCTCTAGCCTGGGCAACAAAGCAAGACTCTGTCTCAAAAACAAAACAAAACAAAACAAAACAAAACAAAACAAAACTTGTGTATGAAAAAATGAGGATGTACCTTCACAATAAAGAAAAAAAAAGTGTCAAAGCGAAATGTCAGAGATATCAACTGTCAAACTTAGTACATAAGGAAACTGGACATTCCATACTTAATAACCTAATAAATCTTCAAAAATAAATAATGATCTCCACTTGTGGCCACAATGAGTAAGTAGGTCAGACTTATCCTCCCATAGTCATCAACTAGAAAACTGGGCAAAATACATGAAACAAGTTTTTCAGATGTGGAACAAGCAGCAACACAGTTTGTTCCCAAGAAGGGAAATAAACCAAGTGAACCCAACCACTGCTCTGGCTGTCGGCCAGGAGGCACTTTCCAGGCTGCAGTACAGGGGCAGAAAGTCAAGCAGAGCATGGCAGTCTTGCTGAGTTAAGTAGACAGAAACTGGAGTTCAGGGAAGTGGAGGTGGCTGGAACTTTCCAGGCAGAGAACCAGAGAGGAAGCTACATAGGAAAAAACCTTCAGAACTCTGCACAGAGTTCCCTATAAACCTGATTTTTGTTTTGAGTCAGGGTCTCACTCTGTTGCCCCAGTTAGAGTGCAGTGGCACTAGCATAGTTCACTGCCACCTCAAACTCCTGTACTCAACGATCCCCTTGCCTCAGCCTCCCGAGTAGCTGGGACTATAGGCACATGTCACCACACCCGACTAATTTTTCTCTTTTTTGTAGAGACGGGGTCTTGCTATGCAGCTCATGCTGGTCTCAAACTCCTGGCCTCAAGTGATCCTCTGACCTTCACCTCTCAAAGTGCTAGGATTAGAGGTGTGAGCCACCACACTTGGTCCCTGTTGTTGAACATAATCCCATATACACAGGGTAAGACTCTGTAAGGCTGAGCAAAGGATGACCGTGAGCAATGACCTGAGCAAAGGATGACCTGAACAATTTCCAGAGCTCTCAGAGGACTGAGAAACATTCAAGTTCTGATCAGCCAGACCAGAGAATCCTTACTGAGCACCTAGACCACTCAGCAGAGACCCCAGAGAGTCTTGCTGAAATAGTCTGGCTAAATAAACTTAGAGTGGTGGCTCAATAGGCAGCAATTTTGACCCCCACCCCATCCAGCGACATCTGGCAATGTCTGGAGACATTTGGTTGGCATAAATGGTGAAAGGGAGAGGAGTGCTACTGGTATCTACGGGGTAGAGGCCAGGGATGCTGTTAAACTTCCTATAAAGCACAGGACAGCTTCTCACAACAAATAATTATCAAAATGTCAAACACAGTGCCAAAATGTCAATAGTGCTACTGGTGAGAAAACTGACCAAAAGCTACCCTAATCCTGCTCCAACGAAGCTTCAACAAGCCTTGAAAGGATCGAACTCAACTGCAAGTAACCCAACCGCATGCCAGACAAAGTTTTTAAAGAAAAAAAAAAAATCCAGCATTCAACAATGGAAAATTCCCAGTATCTACAGCATCCAAATAAAAATTTTTAGATACATGAAGGAAAATGTGACCTAGAACCAGGATAAAAAGTCAATAGAACAAACCCAAAAAAGACAGAGATGGTGGAAATAGAAGACCAGGATGATAAAACAGCTAAAATAAATGTTAAGTACATTCATATTTAAGGAAAATATGAACATAATGAGAAAAACAGAAGTTATGAAAAAGAATCAAATGGAACTTTTAGAGATAAAAAAATACTGTATCAGGTCAGGTGCGGTGGCTCACGCCTGTAATCCTAGCACTCTGGGAGGCTGAGCCGGGAGGATCGCTTAAGGTCAGGAGTTCGAGACCAGCCTGAGCAAGAGCAAGAGCAAGACCCTGTCCCTACTAAAAATAGAAAGAAATCAATTGGCCAAATAAAAATATATATAAAAAATTAGCTGGGCAAGGTGGCGCATGCCTGTAGTCTGATACTTGGGAGGCTGAGGCAGGAGGATCACCTGAGCCCTGGAGTTTGAGGTTGCTGTGAGCTAGTCTGACACCACAGCACTCTAGCCTGGGCAACAGAGTGAGACTCTGTCTCAAATAAATAAATAAATAAATAAAATAAAAATACAGTATCAGAAATAAAAAGTTCACTAGATGTACTTAAGAGCAGATTAGACACTGCAAAAGAAATATCAGTGAAGCCAGGCACAGTGGTGCATGCTTGTGTTCCCAGCTACTCAAAAGGCCAAAGCAGGAAGATCACTTGAGCCCAGGAGTTTGAGTCCAGCCTCGGCAACACAGTGAGATCCCATCTCTAAAAAATTAAAACAAAAAATAAATATAAATAAAATACTGCATTTTAAAAAACTGTGGTGATAGCCATAACCTTACCACAGAAACTTTTTTTGCAAATCTTTCAACTGTGCACTCCATGTATCAGCGACGTGAAATTTTAGAAGTCCAACTCAAAATCCTAGACCATAAAAGATATTCTGGAAACCCTGAAAGAATCATTCATGTTGTATGCTAAGGCAGGATGTCAGTATACAACCACTTTCTGCTATCTTAGTTTCACTTCTGTCTGACGAAACTCAGCCGCTGGGTCACACAAGAATTCCAACATGCTTAAACCAAAAGGAGGTTTCATTTGTGTCACTGCTGTTGCACTTGATTAGCTCTAGTTTACTCAGTATTTATAACTTTTAACCAGCAGAGAAATAAACATCAAGAAACAAAATGTTTACTGTCAGAGCTACCCCACACAGAGACCTCATTCCTCTGTAATGACCTGGATCTATTCCAGGTAACTGGAATAAACCTTTTCCTCTCTCACATAAGAGCAAATAGAGCTTTAGACACAGGATGTGTAGCTCTCACCTGGCCCCACGGTCACCTCAGTGGAATGCTTGTTGATAACCTTAATCTTATCACTGAAGCCATTTTTCTCTACAATCTTCACAGCAGCATCAGCCATAGGCTTGAAAACCTAGGAATCAGAGCCAAAACCCAAAGAAAAATGAGCAATAACTTAAATAATATCCTAACACCCAAGGTTAACAAGATATTCTTTGATTCTGGTCCTAAGATTTGTAACTTAAATACTTTATTCTCCAAATGTGTGTCATGAAAATGAAGGTAAAGTTAGGGTTAGCCTGTGGTCAGGAGTTCCTGCTGCGGGCCAGGCACGGTGGGGATTCCAGGGAGCCCGAGGAGGCTGCACTACCCAGTAACGGCCGTAGGTGTCAGTGCCACATTAATGGGATGCCAAAGACCCAGGAAGGGGACTTACCACACAAAACACACCTGGGACTCTGCTGTCCTCTCTAGAGAAAAGTGAGACTTACTGCAAGCAGGTCACCCTTCTGGCTCAAAATTGTATCAAATCCCCACTGCGGGCAGAACACAGCCTTTTCTTATGGTACAGTAGTCCCCACAGGGGACTTATCCATGGGGGATACATTCCAAGACCCCCAGTGGATGCCTAAAACCTCAGATAGTACCAAACACAATACTACTGTTTTCCAATAAATAATACCTATTGATAAATTTTAATTTACAGATTAGGCACAATAAGAGATTAACAATAACTTAAAAATAGAACAATATTGAGAATGGCACACAATTTAAAACCAATGAATTATTTCTGAAATTTTTTAATTAATATTTTTGGATGGAGGGCAACTGAAATCACAGAAAGTGAAACCACAGACAAGGGAAGACTACTGTATCTAAGGCCCTCCACAATACAGACCATCTTACCTTCCCAGCCTCACTTGCCCTGATCCCACGACCAATACTCCAGCCATGCTGATCTTTTACTGTTCACTGCATAAGCCTGAGCTGTCCCACCTGAAAAATCAAACCCAACTTCCCAGGGTAGCACAAACTTCCCCTCTCCAGAAGTCTTCATGAACATAACCCTCTCTAACTCTTAGTTTCCAATCTACCCACAGTGTAGATCCCACAGCTCCAACCACTTTAGGTATAAAACAGATTCTCATGTGGCCCCACACAGAGTGGAAATGTAACAAAATAACCTGACTAATCATGACGACAAGATTTTCCATTTTTCTAAATCCTTTTCTGTATTTTCCACATTATCTACCAACACTTTTTTTTTTTTGAGACAGAGTCTCACTTTGTTGGCCCAGGGCTAAGAGTGAGTTGCGCATGGCGTCAGGCCTAGCTCCACAGCAACCAAACTCCTGGCTCAAGCAATCGCTCCTGCTTTTCAGCCTCCACGTAGCTGGACTACAGTGCATGCGCAACATGCCGTGCTAACAATTTTCTATATATGTATTGTATTGGCCAATTAATTTCTTTCGTAATTTATATGTAGCAGACGGGGTCTTGCATCTTGCTCAGGCTGGTTTCGAACTCCTGACTTGGAGGGCAATCCGCCGCCTCGGCCTCCAGAGTACTAAGGATTACAGGCATGAGCCACTGCGCCTGGCCTACCAACACTTTTTTTAAACTAATAGTTAAAAATTTATTTATAAAGAAGTCATATGTGGGCTGGGCGCAGTGGCTCACGCCTGGTAATCCTAGCACTCGTGGAGGCCGAGGCGGGCAGATTGCTCAACGTCAGGAGTTCAAGAACCAGCCGAGCAAAGAACAGAGACCCGCCATCTCGGTGACTAAAAAATAGAAAAGAAATGCGCAAACAACTAGCAATAGAAAAAATAAGCCAGGCATGGAGGTCCACATGCCTATGTCGCCAGCTACTCAGCGAGGCTGAGGCAGAAGGATATGCTTGAGCCCAGGAGTTTTGAGGTTGCTGTGAGCTAGGACTGCACACCAACAGCACCCTAGCCCGTGCAACACAGAACGAGACTCTTGTCTCAAAAAAAAAAAAAAAAAAATTAAAAAAAAAAAAAAAAAAAGAGGCCGGGGCTAGTGGCTCAGGCCTGTAATCCTACGCACTCTGGGGGCGATGGCGGATGGATTGCTCGAGTCAGGAGTCGAAACGCAGGCCTGATCAAGAGCAGCAAGACCGCCGTCTCTACATACAAATAAGGAAATTAATTGGCCCAAGCTAATACCATAAGGAAATAAATTAACCGCAGACATGGTGGCACGCATGCCTGTAGTCCCAGCTACTACTCGCGTGAGGCTGAAGGCACGCAGGATCGCTTGAGCCCAGGAGTTGAGTCTGGCGGTGAGGCTTGTAGGCTGACGCGCACGAAGCACTCACTTCTCTACCTGGGCAACAAGCAAGACTGTTGTCTCAGGAAAAAAAAAAAGGAATACATCTGTGCGTTGGTTAGAAATAAGATATCAGTGCTCGCTTCGGCAGCACATATACTAAAATGTGGAACAGATACAAGAGAAAGATTAGCATGCCCTGCGCAAAGGATGACCGCAAATTCGTGAAGCGTTCCATATTTTGGGCGTGGAATAAAGGGCTTGCGTCCGGAAAAAAAAAAAAAAAAAAAAAAAGAAAATAAATAATTCATAATATATTTCAAATTATTTCTAGGATTTGGCTTGATGATTTTAGATGTGGTCTGAGGGCCTCAAAGCCTAGTTCTCACCAATCACTTTGCCTCCACTCCTGAAAGTATCGCAAGCTCAGTGCCACCTCACTCCTGCTGTCCTGTGACTGTCCCTCATCTCTTCTTGAACCTGCAGGTTCTTACCACGTATAGCCTCCTTCTCCTCGGCCCACCAAGTAGCTCAAGGTCTCACCCAAAACACTACCAGAAATAGCCACTGAGGTTTACTTCCCAGCATCCATTCTGTGGTCCTTTCATTCCCCTCAAATCAGGTGCAGGATGTAATGTGGGGAGGTACATTCTTTCCAGTGCTACACCTGTCTGGTCTAAGGGTAACCGAATCCATCTTGCCAGGGTTGAGGTGAGGAATGAGATTTAACCCTAATTCTGGTCAATGATACCTGAGGATAGGTTTGCTAGAAATTCTTAGGAAAGTTCTTGCTCTTAAAAAAAAGAGAAAGGGGCCAGGTGTGGTGGCTCACACCTATAATCCTAGCACTCTGGGAGGCCGAGGTGGGAGGATCACTTGAGGTCGGGAGTTCGAGACCAGCCTGAGCAAGAGTGAGATCCCCATCTCTACTAAAAATAGAAAAAATTAACCTGGTGTGGTGGTACATGCCTGTAGTCCCAGCTACTCAGGAGGCTGAGGCAAGGAAGATCGCTTAAGCCCAGGAGTTTGAGGTTGGTGTGAGCTCAGTTTATGCCACAGCACTCTAGCCCAGGGAACAGAGCAAGACTCTGTCTCCAAAAAAAAAAAAAAAAGAGAGAGAAAGGGAGGCCAGGCAGTGGCTCATGCTTATAATCCTAGCACTTTGGTATGCCAAGGCGGAAAGACTGCTTGACCCCAGGAGTCTGACACAAGCCCTCGGGAGTCCAACACCAGCCTGAGCGACATAGCAAGACCCTGTCTCCACCAAAAGTAGGAAAAGTTAGCCAGGTGTGGTGGCACGCACCTGTAGTCACAGTTACTCAGGAGGCTGAGGCAGACGGATCACTTGAGCCTAGGAGTTTGAGGTTGCTGTGAGCTATCATCATGCCACTGCCCCCATGCCCAGGCAACAAAGCAAGACCCTAGCAGAAAAGGAGAAAAGGGGAGGTGAGGGCAAGGGGGGGGGGGAGGGAGGAGAGAGAAATCAGGCATGGTGGCGCATGCCTATAGTTCCAAATACTCAGGAGGCTGAGAAGAGAGGATTTCTTGAACCCAGTAGTTTGAGGCTGCAGTGTGCTCTGATCATGCCTATGAACAGCCACTATACTCCAGCCTGGGAAACACAGTGAAACTCTGTCTCTAAAAAAAGAGAGAGACAGAGAACGAGGAAGTCAGAACCATGTTTTCCTGTTGGATATGTCTCCAATGACTTTTAGCAGCCTTCTTACTGCCAAGAATGGCTCCAGCCTTGGGAGGAAGATGATGTGTGAAGAGCAGAGCACAGAGAGAGAGAGAGATTCTAGACCTCAGACACCCCTAAACTTATGAAGGAACCAACACAAGCTCTGGACTTCCAACAAGCCCTGGACTTACCGACAACATCCCTGTCTAAGCCAGTGAAAAGTGGTTTTCAAGGCACTTGCCACAGAAATCATTGTAACTGATACGTACCTTTCCCAAATATTCCTTCCTTTTCAAATGTACTAAAAGCGAAGTCTGTGGTCATTGTGTTTCCCTCCTCAATCTTACTCTCTCCTGGGAGTATCATCTGAAGGAGGTCCCTAATGACCTCCTAAGTGCCCGCCCAAGAGCTTCCTCTCAGCACTCATCCTGCTCAACTTCTACTCCTAGGTTATGCAATACCATAGCCACATGGAGCTATCTAGATGTAAACTGATTAACACTGAATAAAATTAAAAATTCAATTCCTCAGTCATATTAGCCACATTTCCAGGGCCCGGTAACTACCTGGATCTAAGGACCACAGACAGCACAGCTACAGAAGATTTTCATCCTCACAGAAAGTTCTGCTGGGCAGTGCTGCTCTGTACCACTGCCACCTGCTGACCACACCCTCTTTTCCAGTTTCCATGAGGTCTGTCCCCTTTGCTTTCACAGCACTCTGCTCTCTAGGGTCTCTTGTCTGAACTTGACCTTACTGGCTACTCTTCCTTCTTCAGTCCCCTGACCACTGGCATGTTTCTAAGGTTTGTTCTTCTCATTCTACTGTCTTTCCTTGAACAATCTTCTACACTGCCAGCTTTACCTGTCACATCTGGGCAAGTGAGTCCCAAATCTGCTTGTATATGCCACTCTCTCAAGGTTCAGACTTCCATCTCTAAGGCCCACAGCTCCTTCTTCATTCTTCCAGACCTGGCTTTCCTGTTGTTGTGCAGCTCAGGCACAGTTGAAAACCACAGGTTTGGTGGTCCACAGCCAGAAAGACTAAGATTCAAATAGGTGGTAACTAATGAAAAAACTGGGAGGCCTCCTTAAGACGTCAAAAATCACAGGTAAGAGATGCTGAATGTCACAGGCCAAAGCAGAAAGCAAGAATCAGAAATCCAAGTAACTGAGACGGGAATAAAGAAAAAGCCCAGGGCACAGTCTTAGCAATTCTGTCAAAAAATGTGTTTTCCCCTATTGACTTTAATGAGCAGTCCACACAGACAGCAGCCTCTCCCAGACTCAACACACCTGACACCAAACGCACGATCTTTCCCACAAAGCAGGCATCTTCCTCTGAGTTCTTAACAGTCAATGGCATCACTTGCCTTCCCAGACACTCATGCTAGAAAGCCATCACATACACACACGCACACACACACACACACACATTCTCCCATCAAAGCTACCACAGCAGAGTGAGCCCCTGAGCACCATAATTAGGATCCAGAAGGCCAAGGCTTCAGATCTCACTCTCCTACTTATTAACTGTTGGAATTAAATAAGTCTTCAATTTCTCTGGGTCTTAATTTTGTTTCTTCATTTGTAAAATTAGGATAATGAAATCTACTTTGAGGCTATCAAGGCAACCTAAAGGATTTCTTTGTATGTGCTTGAAAACTCTGTTGACTCCCCAGTGGGTAGAGAAGTGGCTGTTAATCTTCTCTATGAAATCCTGAGACAATTGCTGAGTCTCTCACACACACGTACATACAACTCTCAGGACTTTCACAGAGATCTCAAGTTCATTTCTCTTTTTCAGTTTAAGAACACCTAACTCAAAATTTTAGAGTTAAAACAATTTACTGTGGCACTCAGGTCCTTGACAATCTGGCTGCAATCTACCTTTCTAGATTTTTCTACCATGACACTTTTTGCCAAGACTCTGGATGACTGTTCCCCAAACACACCAAGGTATTTCCAAAGCCTAAAATGCCCATCTTTCTAGACCACGAGTATGAGGGCCATACTGTAGGGCAGATGTCCTCAAACTACAGCCCGAGGGCCACATGCAGCCCACCAAGGACATTTATCCGCCCGCCGGATGTTTTTGCCGCAGCTGCCTGTCCTGCTTAGCAGCCAACTCGTCCTGGGCCCACAGTACACATGTGTGGAATATACGCCAAACTCTCCAAAGGCCCTCCAATGGTCTGAGGGACAGTGAACTGACCCCCTGTTTAAAAAGTTTGAGGACCCTTGCTGTAGGGTGGTGGGGCAGGGAGCTGGAAGGAGCTTGGGTAGAACACCCTGGACTGCTGACCTCTGGACTTTATGTGAGAAAGCAAAGAACTTCTACTTTGTTTAAGCCACTGTTACTCTAGGGTTTTGTTATTTCTAACTCAATCACCACATGCACCCAATTTTGTAGGGAAAAATATTTAAATATTAATACATGATCCCTCATCCTGCCCCCAAAGCTTGAAAGACTATACACCAAAACTGTAACGGTGGTTAACTTTGGGTTAACACACTATTTTTATTTTGCATTTTCCAAATTTCCTACAATAATATGCATTATTTACATTATCAGAAAAACAATGTATGTTTAATGTTTTATGAAAGAAAGAAATGACAGATTGATAAACACAAAAAGAAAGATGGCTCTGTAGGAACATTAAAAGTAGCAGTCCTCAACCTTGCTGCACATTCAAAAGTCTCAATGCCCAGAAAAATTAAATGAAAATCTTGGGGAGGGGACTGTTAGGCATCAGTACCTTTTAAAGCTACTTCAGTGATTCTGATGTGCAGCCAAGGCTTAGAGCCACTGTTTTCAGAGGAGAAAACTAGCTCCTGGAGGAAGAAATTGTGTATGATTCATCTCTACGTGCTCAGAACCCAGTCCTATGCTTAGCACGAAGTGAGTACTTCACGAATGTGTATGAAAGAACAGACGGTGAAAGTGCAAGGACATAGGAGATTTCCCATAGAAGACGCAGGACACACACTTGAAGAGTGTAGGGGGGCTCACCTCGATGGCATAGCAGAAGTCAGCACCTGCTGTGACCGCCATCATCGACAAGAGTCCCGTGCCAGTGCCAATGTCAAGAACCAAGGCCTTCTGTCCTCTGTCCTTTACCCTGCTCACAGCAGCCCGGATACCATGGTAATATTTCACATTCTAAGAGAAAGGGTGAAATAAATGTCACTTCATACCAGTTATAAGTGAAAAGTGCTTTGTAAAGTTCTAGAGTCACGGTTGACAGCAGCATTGTAATTCATGACCCTGTGGCCTTTCTGGCCCTTCAAGGAACAGCACTGGCTATCTGAGTTGGGCAGAAAGAACCCTCTCTGTAGGCAATGCTAAAATCAGAGAAGAGGCCCAAACTCCCTGGCTCAAGTGATCTGCTTCCCTCAGCCTCCCAAGTAGCTGGGACTACAGGTGCATGATACCACGCCTTGCTAATTTTTCTATTTTTTGTAAAGAACTTCTACTTTGTTTAGGCCACTGTTACTCTAGGGTTTTGTTATTTCCAACTCAATCACCACATGCACCCAATTTTGTAGGGAAAAATATTTAAATATTTTCCCTTCACTATGTTACTCAGGGTGGCCTCAAACTCCTGGCTTCAAGCAATCCTCTCACTTCAGCCTCCCAAAGTGCTAGGATTACAGGCATGAGCCACCATGCTTGGCCAGTCTGTGATTTTAAAATCATGTCTCCTAGAGGTCACTGGGGACTATTAATTTGTAAAGCACATTTTGCCTTCATTGCAGAATTTCATTTTAGCTTTTCTCTTTCACATTTGTGTTTTTATCTGAGTTTTCTTTTCCTGTATGAATTATGGAGCAGTGCTGTTCTGGTCTTACTATGGTTAGCAAGCAACCCAGAATTTCCTGGTCTGCCAGAGTACTTGACTGGTTTGTTCTATCCAGCTGATTCAGAAGCCGAGAGGGTTGAAGGAAGAGGATGCACGGTGAAGCCTAAAAGTTGAGTGGCTCAAGGCAGGAGATGGATGAGGGCGTGTGGCAGAGTTGGTCCTATGGTTGAGCTGGTGGTGGTGTCTCCTTCACCCAGCCCTGGTTAAATCTGCTCAGATTACCTTCCTCTTGGAAGCAATCTGATAGAAGGACCTTCTTAAGTAGACCAAAGGGTCTGGGTGACACCCTAATTTTCATCAAATATCTGAGTACCTTTGCTGAGCTGTCAGGGGAATTATAGAATAAAATGTGGAAAAAAGCCGGGCGCAGTGGCTCACACCTGTAATCCTAGCACTCTGGGAGGCCAAGGCGGGCAGATTGCTCGAGGTCAGGAGTTCGAAACCAGCCTGAGCAAGAGCAAGACCCCATCTCTACTATAAATAGAAAGAAATTAATTGGCCAACTAATATATATAGAAAAAATTAGCTGGGCATGTGGCGCATGTCTGTAGTCCAGCTACTAGGGAGCTGAGGCAGAAGGATTGCTTGAGCCAGGAGATTGAGGTTGTTGTGAGCTAGGCTGACGCCACGGCACTCACTCTAGCCTGGGCAACAAAGCGAGACTCTGCCTCAAAAAAAAAAAAAAAAAAAAAGTGGAAAAAATACCCTTTTGACTTTTTCTCTCTAGCTGAATGGTTTTCGTTTCTGACTGGACTCTTGAGGCTGTGGTCTTCTCTGATTTTCTTTCTCTCTCTCTCTCTTTCTCTCTCTCTTTCTTTCTAGACAGGGTCTCACTCTTGCTCAGGCTGGTCTCTAACTCCTGAGCTCAAGCCATCCTCCCGCTTAAGCCACCCAGAGTGCTAGGAATACAGGCATGAACCACTGTGCCCAGCCAATTTCTATTTGTCAATTATATCATAAGAAAGCTGGGGGAGAAAAAAAAGTAAGGGAAACAAACAAACTAAAAAAAACAGAGCCAGAAGTAGGACCCAATTTCCTGAATACAACACCACACTGCCTCTCAGCACCATTATAATGTTGTCACTCCTGGGGGTTTTTAAATTCGTAATCCAAGATTTCAAGAGACCACATCAAGGTAATAGTATCCTTTTACACTTACTCTGTCTTTGTCATGCAGCATATCTGCATAGGATGACCTAAAAAAAAAAAAAGACAGGTCAGAACCTTCCTAATAACAATACACATTAACACATAACAGTATTTACATATATAAATGCATTCCTAAATCAGACAGAACAAACGTGTCATCCACTTTATCTTTTTTTTTTTGAGACAGAGTCTCACTTTGTTGCCCAGGTTAGAGTGAGTGCCGTGGCATCAGCCTAGCTCACACCAACCTCAATCTCGTGGGCTCAAGCGATCCTCCTGCCTCAGCCTCCCAAGTAGCTGGGACTACAGGTATATGCCACTGTGCCCAGCTAATTTTTTGTATATATATTTTTTAGTTGGCCAATTAATTTCTTTTTATTTATAGTAGAGACGGGGTCTTGCTCTTGCTCAGGCTGGTTTCGAACTCCTGACCTCGAGCAATCTGCCCGCCTCGGCCTCCCAGAGTACTATGAATAGGCATGCACCACCGTGCCCGGCCCGTGTCATCCACTTTAAATTATTTTTTGTCTGTGATGAAGTCTCACTATATTGCCCAGGCTGGAGTGCAGTGGCTATTCACAGGCATGACTATAGCTCACCACAGCTGCAGCCTGAAACTCCTGGACTCAAGCAATCCCCTCACCTCAGACTCCAGAGTAGCTGAGTCTACAAGCTCGTACCCCCACAGACAGCATGCCCACTTTTGAGAGGCATTTTTACTCACCACCTTCCTGGCCTCATCACCCACTCACCCATTGACATGACTCTCAGTAAGCGTCAGCAGCTCTCTCCTGCAGCTAATGCCAGTCATCAGCATCCGGGACTTTCTCAGCCGCCCCTGATCCTGCTGGACACTCCTCCTTTCCACGATGGCCATTCCCTCCTGGTTCTCCTTTTGTCTTCTCAGCTATTCCAGGATTCCTTCTTCAACCCTCTACCTTTCACATTCTACAACCCCCTGAGCAACTGCAACCTCTCCCAGCTTCAACTCTCACTAACAGTAGCAAATTCTCTGTCTCCACCCATTCTTCCCAGGTTCTTCCTCTGAGGTAACAGCATTCCATGAACTTCACCATTCGATCCAGAAAATCTTGGTGCTTCTTGAAATTTCTCCGTCCCTACATCCAGTGGGTTACCAAACACAAGCTCCTTCAAGCTGTCTCCTCCTCTCTCTACCTCTGCTGCTGCTCCCCTGAGATTGCAATAATCCACCCAAATGGTCTCTTCTCCCTCCAACCCATGCTGCTCTCGGTTAGTGTTCTCAAATGCAACCCAACCCCCTTTCTCCCTTGTTTAACATCTCAATCGCTCAGAAAATGTCCAAAATCTTTAGAAATGAAGTAGTATTTTTGTACTCCTAATGTGTGCCACTGTGTTATATCCCATCATCAAACAACCCCAAGATAAAGGTATTACATGTTGAGATATATATTATATTGAGGTATATATTATATATTATTATACTAAGACTAAGTAGTTTGGCCAACAGAGCTAAGAAGTGGCACAGCCTAGACTTAAAACTCATGCTCCTCTTCCTGCACTTTGCCACAGCCCTTCACACCACGCTGCCTACTTTTTCAGCAGCCTCTCTCGTCACAGCTCTACTTTTACACCATATTCCAGCCACACTAAACTGCTAGCCACTCCCCAAAATGCCCCTCCCCCAAGTTTACATGTAATCCCTGCTGCTCAGAGTTTAATTTTCATCCCTTTAGATTCAAGAAATCACTCAGACGGCCAGGCACGGTGGCTCATTCCTGTAATCCTAGCACTCTGGGAGGCCAAGGAGGGTGGATTCCTCAAGGTCAGGAGTTCAAAACCAGCCTGAGCAAGAGCGAGACCCCGTCTCTACTATAAATAGAAATTAACTGGCCAACTAATATATGCAGAAAAAATTAGCCGGGCATGGTGGCGCATGCCTGTAGTCCCAGCTACTCAGGAGGCTGAGGCAGCAGGATCGCTTGAGCCCAGGAGTTTGAGGTTGCTGTGAGCTAGGCTGACACCATGGCACTAACTCTAGCCTGGGCAACAAAGTGAGTTGGTCTCAAATTCCTGAACTCAAAAAAAAAAGAAATCACTCAGACATAACCACCCTTAAGTCCAGAAGTTCTTGTTGCTTCTGTGACCTTTGTGCCCATTTCCAGTGGCCTTTCTCTTACTGTGCTGTAATTTTCTATGTCTGTCTCTTCCACAAAACTACACGGTCCTTTAAGATGGGAACCAGATCTTCTTCATCTTGGTATCCACAGCCCTAGCACAATGCTGGCATGCTGAATGCATGTAATGACTGCTAATTAACAACTCACATATTTTTAAACATTTCTTCCAAAGACAAAAGCATTTTTCACTTTTTTCATTCACGAGAATTTAACCATATGATAAACGTGCCACCATATCAATGAAGAAAGTAAATAATTAAATTTTGTAAACTTTATTACTATTGAGCCTTGGGTCCTCTTTGCTCCACTAAACAGATCCTCTGAGACACTAGCCAGGCTGCTACATGATGTCTGATGCTCCCAAGAGGCATGACACTGCCTAACTCCCACACACACCGGGCTGAGCAGATGTGCTGGAGACCAACACCTGCCCTGATCGTAAGCAATGGGTGACAGCCTAGTCCACACTCAATTGGATTTCAAGGCATCTGCTTTAAGATCAAGTGCCCCAATCAGCTGCAGCTGATCATGAAGCAACCCTTGTTACCTGGCAATCTCCTGGTGGTAATCATAGTGTTCATCCTCCTCCAGCCACTCCACGGACCCCGTGGTCGGGTTGGCCCGCCCGCAGAAGACCTTCATGGTACCAATCCACTCTCCAGTTTTAAGACAGAAAAGCAGCCTTGCCAGTGCACTTCTTGTGGACAGGTCTGACAGTCAGAAATCTATTAACATCATGATGCCCAAAATGTGGAGGGGAGAAGGGGGAGACAAGAAAAAAAAAAAAAGGAGGCAAAAAACAAAACAAAACAAATTGACAAAAATATCAAAGCCACAGAAAGTATTTGTTAATCAGTATTTTAATCTGTCCAGCAAGAGTTATTTGATTTTATATTCAGCATGTAACATCAGAAACTACAACACATTCATTAAGATGTCTGGAAACTTCTGCAGTCCTCAGTGCTTCTAACAGGGTCAATGAGCCTCACAGGTTCAGCTGTGTGCAGGGCTCAGGTAAAGGCAAGTGAGAAGGGGAAGTAGAGCACAGTAAACCACTATGAGAACAAAGAGAGATGGGGTGGTGCTAAAGAAATGCCACCAAGCCGGGCACGGTGGCTCACGCCTGTAATCCTAGCTCTCTGGGAGGCCGAGGCAGGTGGATTGCTCAAGGTCAGGAGTGCAAAACCAGCCTGAGCAAGAGCGAGACCCCCTCTCTACTATAAATAGAAAGAAATTAATTGGCCAACTGATATGTATATAAAAAATTAGCCGGGCATGGTGGCGCATGCCTGTAGTCCCAGCTACTCGGGAGGCTGAGGCAGAAGGATCGCTCGAGCCCAGGAGTGTGAGGTTGCTGTGAGCTAGGCTGACGCCACGGCACTCACTCTAGCCTGGACAATAAAGCGAGACTCTGTCTCAAAAAAAAAAAAAAAAAAAAAGAAATGCCACCAATACTGCCTCAGGACACTGAACATCTAGCTTAAGAAAAACTACAAAGATAAACCAGGAAAACCTTCATATAAATGATAATAACCACTGCCATACACAAACATGGATAATCCCGGGAATATGATGAGCAAAAACAGTAAATCACAGAACACAATTTATTTATATGAAATTTATAATCATGCAAAACAGAATAATACATTCTTCAGGGTTTATACTAAAAAGCATAGCAGGGAATCAGATAGTGGTTACTTCCAAGAAGGAAGGGAGACAGATAGGATCAAAAAGGGCCACATAGCCAAATTCAAAAGTATTAAGGGGTTTTTTTTCTCCTTCACTTGGGTAGTGAGAACACAGGGTCTCACTGTGTTGCCCAGGCTGGATTCAAACTCGTGAGCTCAAGCAATTCTCCTGTCTCAGCCTCCCAAGTAGCTGGGGATACAGGTGCATGCCACCATGCCTGGCTAAGTTTTCTATTTTTAGTAGAGACAGGTCTCCATCTTGCTCAGGCTGGTCTCAAATTCCTGAACTCAAGCAATCCTCCCACCTGGCCTCTGAGAGCACTAGGATTACAGACGTGAGCCACAATGCCTGGCCATAATTTAATTTTAAAAGCAATTTTAAAAGCAAGTATAAGACAAACATGTTGTCAGTGGTGCTGGCGCTGAGGACAAAGGCAGTGGCCCTGCTGAGCCCCTGCCAGCAGGACCCAAGTGCGGCCCCTTGACCTAATTCAAACTTCACAGAACAAATCCCTTTATTAAAAGAATTTGTTCTGCAAAATTTGGATTCAGTCATAAGGCCACACTCAAAAGATCCAGAAGGCCATGTATACCCAAGGCCACAGGTTCCCCACCTCTGCATGGCTTTCAAACTTTCTGACAACCCAGTAAGAAATATACTTTACAATGAGACTCAACACACCTGCACACTCACTTATAACTAAAAGTTTCATAAAACAATACTTAGACATCCTATGAGCAAGACTCTCTGGTATGTTTTATTTCATTTTGATTTGACTTCATTTTTTTAGAGACAGGGCTCTCGCTCTTTCTTAGCTGGAGTGCAGTGAGTATTCACAGGTGCGATCACACTGTGCATAATATAGCCTCAAACTCCTGGGTTCCAGTGATCCTCCTGCCTCAGCCTCCCAAGTAGCTAGGACTACAGTGCACACTTCTGTATCCAGCTTCATTTTTCACTTTTTAAATTGCTGGTCATGATCCACCAAACTGATTTCATAACCTGCCAATGGGCTTCAATCTACAGTTTGAAAAGCATTGCTATAATCCACTCTATCTCCTGTACTAGTATTTAATTCAAAGACAGAGCATCTGGAACTACCAGAATCGGTAATATCCTTTAAAAAACTGTGTCTAGCAAATGCTGTAGCAGAAGTAGAAATGATCATGTTTGGGCTGGGTATGGTGGCTCACATCCAGAATCCAAGCACTCTTGGAGGCCGAGGCAGAAGGACTGAGGCCAGGAGTTAGAAGTACAGCCTAAACAAGAGTGAGACCCCACCTCTATAAAAAAAACAGAAAACACACCTGGGTGTGGTGGCATGTGCCTATAGTCCCCAGCTACTTGGTTTAGACAGGAGGATCACGTAAGCTCAGGAGTCTGAGGTTGCAGTGAACAATGATGATGCCACAGCACTCTACCCAAGGAGACAAAACAAGACTCTGTCTCAAAAACAAACAAAAAAGAAATGACCACATTTGGCTGAAATGTTTAGAGAAGGCTTAAAAGATGGCTAGGATGGTGGGAGGGATAAAGCATTTCATTAGATTAGAAAGGTTTAGATAATCACGCACACTTAATACACTGAATAAATCAGTTTCATTTGTTCATTCAAAATTCATTGAGTGGCCCGACCCATCAGTTCACACCTACAATCCTAGCACTTTAGGAGGCTGAAGCAAGAGGGTTGCTTGAGGCCAGGAGTTGGAAATATGCCTGAAAAACATAAGGAGATCCCATTTCTACAAAAAATAGAAAAATTAGTGGTCACCAGGGCACGGATCTGTAGTCCCACCTACAAGGCAGGCTGAGGCAGGAGGATGGCTTGACCCCAGAAGTTTGAGGTTGCAGTGAGCTATGATGATGCCACTGCACTCTAGCACAGGCAACAGTGAGAATCCTGTCTCAAAAAAAGAAAAAATGTTATTAAGTAACTTCTATTTTCCAGGCACTACGTTAAGGACTGGGGCCACCACCACAAACAAAATAGAGAAGGTCCTTCTCCTCCAAGAGTTTAGATTCTAACTGAAGAAAGACAGTCATATAAACAATGACAGACTCCTAGCTACTAAGAAGGATTTTGAACCCAGCAGTTGGAGCATGCAGTGAGCTATGATCAGCCACTGCACTCCAGCCCAGGCGACAGAGCCAGACTCTAACTAATTAATTAACAAAACAATTACAAACTATTACTATATAAAAAATACAAAGGGCATTATGAAAAGAGAAAACACATAAGAAAAGAAATACACAGGATATTATGAAAACAAAAAACATGGTTATGGAAGGACTCTGAGGAAGGTGGCATCTGAGACCTGCAAGACAGCGGTTAAGAGTTGGGCAAAAGTAGTTTTTATATGTCAAGAAAAGGCCTGAACGTACAAAGAACTCGGCAAATAAGCAAAATGTGCCCAAAGCCTGAGTAACTAAAGCACTTTGAGCGGAAGAAATGATAGATTAGAAGTGGGCTTCTGAAATCAAGCTGGGCCTTGTAGGCTTCAGAAGGGTGTTTGGATTTTGTTCTAATTGGCAGCCACCCAAAGATTTTAAGCAGAAGCATGTGTACGTTGGGTGTATACTTTTGCAGGACCACTCTGGCTAGTGTATAGGGAATAGTCTAGTTTCCAGTTACTCAAAACAGTGAGGGGAGAAAAGCAAGCAACCAGCAGTTCCGTGAACTACAGAACCGTGGCCCATTTACGGGTGCGGTGGTTGCAGCCTCTTACTACGGCAGTCCGCTCTACGTGGCTGAGCGGAGGGGCCAGGCACAAGTAATGAGACTCAGCCCCACAAACAGCAGTCACCCCACTGCACTGCAGAGCCATGGGCAGCCTGGAACCCTGTAGCCAGGATGTTCCGAGCCGCCCCACGCATACTCTAGAAAGATCCCTGAGAGTCCTGAAGAGACGCTTACCCTGGCGTCCGAGAACGCCCAAGCCAGGACCCTGAGCCAGAGCCCTGGGCCTGAGGATAAGATGTTGGCAGCATCCAGGACTCCAAATGCGACCCCACATCCCCAGCACACCCAGCACACCCAGCACCTCACCTGCCGCCGGAACGACTAGCTTTGCCTGAGCGGCCACCGCCACCCAGTCGCTGCAAGCGTGTGGGGGCGGAGACTAGATGCACCGCAGAGCGTGCTGGGAGCAGGGTCGGGGGCGGAGCTTGACGGCTCTACCTTAGTACCCCGCGCGTTCCCACAGTGCTCCGCGACAGCCGCTATGGAGGCCGGGAGGACAGCTGTGCTCCGAGTGAAGCGGAAGCGCAGTGCGGAGCCTGCTGAGGCTCTTGTGCTCGCTTGTAAACGCCTTCGGAGTGGCGTGGTCGATTCGATTGCCCAGAAGGCGCCAGAGGGTCTGGAGAGAGCGGCGGAGAATAATGTCTTCCAGTTGGTGGCCACCGTGTGCTCCCAGGTATTGGGCGAGGATGGAGCCGGTGGAGAGGGGATCTCAGGGTGCAGCTGGGATTAGACTGGATCCCTGACGCCGTCACCAACCCATGTTTTCGCTGCCTCCCTTCTCTCCCTCCCCCCAGGAGGAGCCAATCCAGCCACTCCTGCGAGCTGCTCTGCACCCATCCCGGGGCAGCCAGCAGCGTATCCGCAGCGATCTCCGTGCGTCGGCTCGGGAGATCCGGCGGGAGGGCCGCTACCGGGTGGTCTCCAGTCGCCGATCCTTGGGGTCCACCTCGAGCTGCCTGGAGTCCGAGTGCGCGGCGGAGAACCCAGAAGCCGCCAAAGACTCAGGCTTCCAGCTGTTTGACCTGATCCACGAGGAGGGAGAACCAGAGACCGCCTCTGCGGACCCCTGCAAAGTGAGTCCGCACCCAGAGGTGGGTGGCGGGCCTCTCGAGATGATAATGCCAGGAGTCTGGCCCTGAGAGCAACACACAGCTTCACCTTAGGGATGGATAATCCATCTAGCTTGACAGCCTCATTTTATAGATTTGGCCTACTATGTATTAACTGAGCACCTACGTTGTGCCAGATATTGTTTTTAGATGTTATGGATATGGCAGTAAAGACCTAACATTCAGGTAGAGAAGAGAAACAGTAAACAAGTAAATTGAATGTCAGATGGTGATAAGGGCTGTGGCGGGGGAGGTGGGAAAAGTAGGAACAATGGTGCCATTTCTCAGTCTCACTGAGAAAATGACATTTGAGTGAAGACTTGAAGAAGGTGGATATTGACAGGACTTCCAGGCAGAGAACATGCAAGTGCAGAGGCCCTGAAGCAAAGTTTGGTTGTTTGCTAGGTTAGTGTGCCTCCAGCCCAGTGAGCTGGAGGAAAGTAGTGAGGGATTTAGGGTAAGGATGCCTGCTAGACCCTGTAGGTACTATGCCTACCATCCTGATTGAGATGGGGGATCTCTGGAGCAAAGCAGAGACAGAACAGATGAGAAAATTGACCAAAGGGATGTTAAGGGACTAGTTACCTGAGTAGTATATTAAGTTTGAGGAAGATTTAGGTCTAGAATGCAAGTCTTCTCACATTTAATCCAGTTCGTTTTCCACTACATTAACTAAGTTTGTACTCAATTCCCAAAAAAAGCCTATCACGTGCAGCAAAACCACAGAAAGAGAAAACTCAACGTAAGGTATGCCCACGCTTGATAAACATTTTTTTAAAACTCATATTAATCATTTTTGAAGTTTAAAAAATTAAATGACAATTTTAAAAATTAAATGACAAGTTTAAAAAATTAAATGAATCAACAAGCAAAAATATTTAATCATGGTGCTAATTAACTGTATAGAACTTTGGGCATGATGTCCATAACCACATCTTTCCCCAAAACCAATTCCAGACTATTCATAAGTTATAAATTTTTAAAAGTAAACCAGTATTCAGTGGAATCACGTCAATTACATTGCTCATTCAGTTTTATAAGCAAAATTAGATAAACTGATGAGAGATATGAACAGAGATTTTCCCAGTAAAGCAATACAGACTCTAAACACATCAGAAATGTTTGCACAGGGTAATTTAAAAAAAAAATTGTGGATTTAAGTTTAAAGCATGCTTGAGGTACTTTACTACTAGACTAGCGCAGAAAAGATGGTTGATAGCACTGCTAGCAAGGCTGTGATTTAAAGGGTACACAATTATAGGATTAAAACTGAGGCAAGGCTTTTGGAAAACAGTGTGGTTTTAATAATTTTAAATGTGGTTTAATAATTTTGTGGTTTAATAATTTTTCTTTTATGAAAATATATGATTATAGAAGATTTGAAAAAATATTGCAAAGTAAAGGTGGAAAAAAATCACCCATTTTATCCCCAACCCAAAGGTAACTGTAGTAAACCTGGTTTATTTACTTCTGAGTATAAAATTCTGTGATATTTTCTATATTGTCAGACTTACATGTATTTTAATGCTGCATAATTTAATGCCTGGGCTGAGGATGAGAACTTGTGAGTTGGAGCTAGAACTTTCCTCATAAACAACTTTGAGTTTGCTCAAGAACATGCACAAAAAGTAACATCTCTAGTTCCTTTTTGATTTTGGAAAAAGGAAGAATTCCTTTTAGCCTGTAAGTGATAGATTTGGTCTCCCCTTGTCTGCCTTGGCCATGGGACATTCCTCACTTTACCATGTGGTGTCTAGTTTGAGGTGCGTAGCCTCCTGTGATGAGTCTGTCGAGGGGCCATCTGCACCATGTCTCCCTGGTCTCCAAACTGACCTATGCTACCAGGGCCCTGGATGACACAGCCTGTTAGCACTAGAGCACATCTTACCTGGGCTAGTTCTATTTTGGGGCATTCCATTTAAAGCTGTTTTTTTGCAGCAGAGAGATTATAGGGGACTCTACTTCCAGTTTGTGGTTAAAAACCAGGATGTCATAGAGGGCAAGTCAAATGATGGGTAATGGTAGGGGTCCCAGGAATCACCTGCTGGCCTTTTATAAGAGGCTGCACAAAATGTAGACCCATTTCAGGGTCAGCCAGAGGTGCTGGGGTGGGCCTATTGATCCCTATAAGGAGACTATATTACCAAAGGAATGTGGACAAAACCGATAGAAGCAGGTCTCAATCAGAGCTTGGGGAGCAAGACTAGAGGTCAGTCTTCCCGTAGGCTCTTTTGTATCAGCCAAGCACAAAAGAGTAAGAGCTATTTTGTACATTTCTATGTCAAAAGAACTACATTTTGATTTTACAGAGATTCTTGATTTTTCATTTTCATAGCTAATTAAGAACATACTAGTAGTTCATGGGGAAAGAGTCTTGAACATGACAGAGAACGCTAGGGAGCCTTCCTTTACCCGACTCTTAAGTTCCTCTTCTTGGAACATCATGTTTTGAGTCATACATGGATAATCTGTTTCCTTACAGACATCTGACCCAGATGTGATCCTCTGCAATTCTGTCAAGCTGATCCGTGAGCGGTTGACTATATCTGAGGATGGACCGGGAGTCAGGCACCAGGAGGAGCAAAAGCACGACAACTATGTGTATGACATTTACTACTTGGACATGGCCACTTCAGGGTGGATTGAGAACATCCTATCTGTGCAGCCGTATAGCCAAGAGTGGGAGCTGGTAAGGGGGCCCATGGGGATGGGGGCTTGAGGTGTCCTAAATTCTTTTTCTAGTCAGAGTGCTTTGCCTCCCTGAGCTGTAGTCCCGATCAACTTTGTGCTTAGTTCTTGTCTTGCTTAAAAGCAAAAATTTATTCTTAATCCCATTAAGGAAACTGGGTTTAGTGCAGAGAATTCTGGAGATAAGTATCTACATTGATAATTTGTGCTTTTAATGAATCTTTTACAAGGTTTGCAACATCATCTTTATTGTTTATAGCTACCCACTAAAAAATATGCATAGGGACTTATTTAATAAGATAAAAAATAGAACCAGAAATTCTTAACATTAATGACAACAAAAGCTATTTCTTAAATTGCATCTTAAAAGAGGATAAAACCTTGGATGAAGAAAGCTTAACGTCCTTAGCCCAGGCAGGGTGTCTGACGCCTGTAATCCTATCACTTTAGGAGGCCAAGGTGGGAGGATCCCTTGTGGTCAGGAGTTCAAGACCAGCTTGAGCAACATAACAAGACCCTGTCTCTAAAAAATAGAAAAATTAGCTAGGCTTGCTGGTACACGCCTATAGTCCCAGTTACTCAGGAGGCTGAGGAAGAAGGATCACAAGAGCTGGGAGTCTGAGGTTGCGGTGAACTACAATCACGCCGCTGCCCTCATGCATGTGCAACAAAAACCTTGTCTTCAGAAAAATAAAAAATATAAATAAATAAAAAGAAAGCTAAAGTCCTGACACCATTATTCTTAAATTCTAAAATATTAACAAAAAAAGTTGAGGTGAGACCTGTGATACTCGCATTATAAGAGAAGCACTGGATCCTGTACCTGCACTGGAACCATAGATTTGCAGTCAGGCACCCACCTTGGACCACTGTATGGCCCTCCTCCTGCTTTCTTGCTACTGGTTCTTGACTCTAGCCTTTGGCTTCACCCTATAATCCCTCTCCCCCTGGCTGCCTCCAGGAATTTGAAGATAACTGCCATCACTCATAGAAAGAACATCCTGTATTTAAGCGGGAATTGACTGAGATGGTTCGGAGCCATCATTCCTCTTTACCTGTGTTCCCTTGTGGTGGAGTCCAGCCTATCCCACCAGGAACGTGGTGTCTGGAGCTTGACCCTGGAGAAGCGCTACTATTAATATCTCCCTGTATAGCCTAAGATTATTAGTCTCTTGTGCACCAGGAGTCCAACTAGCTCCTAATCTGCTCCCCAAGCTGGTATGCTAAGAGCTTCCCCCAAAGAGCATAACCTTAGAGGTTTTGACTTAGACTCATGTTGTGTTTATGTGTGCAGGTGAATGATGATCAAGAACCAGAGGATGTTTATGATGATGAAGATGACGAGAACAGTGAAAACAACTGGCGCAATGAATACCCAGAGGAGGAGAGCAGTGATGGAGATGAAGCTTCCAGAGGTGGGTGGCAGCCCTGGATGGGGAGGGACTGGTAGTATAGATGACTGAGGTATAAGCATAGTTTACAGGTACATCTTAATGGCTTTTCTGCTATTCAGTTGCTATAGCTCATCCACACAAGTTGAACTGTAGGAAACACAAAGACCAGTGTTTCCAGGGGGACTTCTGGGTGTATAATGTCTCTCAGGGCTGGGTTTAAATCCTTAGTTCTGTCATTGCCCAGCTATGGATCTTGGGCTAATGACTTCACCTCACCGAGCCTCATTTTCTATCTAGAAAAGGAAACAATACTACACCTACTTTAGTGGTTGAGGTTAATAAAATATGTAGCTCATTCATTATCTCTTTTCCTGCTCCAATCAAGAAAGTATTGGAGAAAGAGGTTCACCAGTAGGAATGGGCCCAGGGTTTTCATGAATCAGCTATCTAACCTTTGAGGAAACTGCTCCATTTACAAATGTTTTCAGAAAGTTGCAACACAGACCTGGTACCTCCGGGAAGAGAAAGGAAAGATGCCTACCAACATAGCTCTTTTGGTGTGTTCTTCTAAGTGCCAACAAAAAGAATTTCTTGGTGTCTGATAACAGAGGAACAGTTAATGTAATATCATATTGGGGAGATGCCAATCATACCTTGAAAGGGGAAAAGTGCAAAAATATTTACAATATGACTACAACTATTATTATTTATTTATTTACTTATTTATTTATTTTTGAGACAGAATCTCACTCTGTTGCCCGGGCTAGACTGCCGTGGCGTCAGCCTAGCTCACAGCAACCTCAAACTCCTGGGCTTAAGCAATCCTTCTGCCTCAGTCTCCCAAGTAACTAGGACTACAGGCATGTGCCACCATGCCCAGCTAATTTTTTCTCTATATTTTTACTTGGCTAATTAATTTTTTCTATTTATAGTAGAGACAGGGGTCTCACTCTTACTCAGGCTGGTTTCGAACTCCTGACCTTGAGTGATCCTCCCACCAGAGTGCTAGGATTATAGGCGTGAGCCACTGTGCCAGGCCATGACTGCAACTATTATAACAGAAAAAGAAATCCTGTATTTAGGGGGGAAGTGACAAAATAGTCCAGATTTAAAGGACTTGGGTTAGACAGTAGAAATATGACTGCTTTAAAAAATATATTCCATAATCTAAATTTTCTTTACTGAGCAAGTATTTTGTAATGTGGAACAAGAAAATGACCTTTATGAGAAGGGAAGAGTCTTTTTTGATAGCCTAAAAAATCATATATACACTCTACAGTTAAGAGACCACTCCTGATATCTCATTCTAGGCTCTGATGAATATAACAGCCTCAGTGAGGAGGAAAAGGGCAGCAGCAGACATCAGATGTGGAACAAATACCCTTTGGATGTACAGAAGGAGTTTGGATATGAGAACCCCCACGACTTGGATTCGGACTGATGGTCTTGTGATATCCATGAGCTTCTACCACAGGCCCTGTGACAATGTTATCTGCTGTGGTAACTTCCTCTTAGGTTTCCTAGCCTAACACATGGAAGGGAAGAGTCTATCCAATAGTACCATCCCACCACAGTGAAAACTTATGCTAAGGGAGTAAGTCTCTTATACTAATAGTAGGGCCCCTTTGCCTCAAAAGTGACATACGGTCTGGGAAAAAGAAAGTAAAAACGAAGGCTAGTTTCCTGGCGCAGGCATTACTCCTGGCATTCCAGCTGTCCTATGCTGAACCCACAAGGGAAGGAGAGGCTCCTGTTTCACTGGCAATAAGGTTCTGCTTTCCCACACCACCAGGCTGCCTGCCTACAGTAAAAACCTATTCCTTTTAATAGAAGGACTACAGTGGTTCCCTTATACAGCACAGACCAGATATTAACGGCCATTGGGGCAAGAAGTAGAATCTCTGTGAGCTGTGGGAGATTTCAGGTAACAGCTGTCTCTCACTCCCTGCTTCTAGACTCTGAAATGGTTATAAAGAGTGAAGTCTTTCTTTGACCACGGTGCCAAGGAATAGAATATGTAAGAATGTGATACACTATGTTTAGTAAAAAACAGCTTTGACCATGCAAGCAAGTGAGCCCTTTAAAACCTTTTAAATTTGAATATCTTAGGTGTTTTCTCACTGTAGACAAAAGGGGGGAAAGGGTGGTGAGACAGAATTGATGATAGACACTAAGGACTCAAGGCAAGTGAAAAAGAAAGCACATTCTGAATATGGCTTTCCATCGAGAAATGGTTAGTATTCACAGCACTCACCCAAAACAAACCATCATCAATAAGACCAATTTCGTTACCAGAACTTGTATCTCCCATGAGATCTGTCCCTGTTCCTCCCCAAACCACAGCTGCCTGCATTCTGACTGGGTTGGTGTTTATTCTTCTAGCACAAAATTGTCCACTAGAATTTCCTGTGGTGATGAATATGTTCTGTATCTGCACCATGCAGTAGTGCTACTAGCCACGTGTGGTTGTTGAACACTTGCAATATGGTTAGTGCAACTCAGGAACTGAGTCTTTAATTTATATTTCATTTTAATTTAATTAGTTACATGTGGCTAGTAGCTACTGTACTGCACAGCACAGGGAAACCACACAGAATGTTTGATTCAAGGGGTATCCTGCCCTCTGACAGTTTGACTTAGTATCCTGTGGGAAAGTGAATTACATAGGGACATGGGTTCTTCCCACCTCTTTTAAGATTTCATAATCATCTCTCCTCCATCCTACCTCCACCCATTCTTTGACTTTATGTCATTTTATAAGCCTTTACATTAGTTCCTATCTGCATAGAGTTGTTAAACCTACCAAAGTGATTAAATTCTGTGTGTGTGCTCATACCCTACTCTTGTAGCTAATTAAACCATCAAATAGACTATTAGTTTTCTCATCCTAAGTATCCACAAACTCAGTGTTATAATTAAGAGGCAGCAACTTCCATGTCTAATACTAGTCATCTTAGTTTCCTTCTATAAGCATAGAAATGAAAGATTAAAAACCAGTCTGTGCCGTTATAATGTGCTCACTACTGTTTATGTACTCATTAAAGTTTCCCCAACATTAAAGGGCTGACAACGTCACACACTGTACCCACTGTAGAAGGGATTAGCACACCAGGAGAAGGACTTAAGGAGGGAAACAACAAAGAACTGGCAGAAATTAATTCCACTATGAAGCCTGAGTGCTGTAGGGAGTCTCTGGCTTTGCGCCCACAGAAGGATTCCTGGGAGAAGTCTGGATCCAGCATAGAGAGGAAAATGCTTTCATTGTCCAAAAATGTGAAGGGGATGACATGGCTCACTAAGCAAGTACTGGGGTACCTGGAGTGTGAGGCCCTTTCTTCCCTTAGGGGCCACTGGGGGGCAGCAAATTCCTGGGATTAGCTGGTTATTGGGTCAGGAGTCCTGAAGATAAGCACACATTGCTTCAAGGATTAGCTCCAGAGGAGCCCTGTTAGGTGCCAGCTTGGTTCAGACAGGAATCATGTTTTTAGAGTTTAGGCAAGTCAGCCTTGCAGAAGACTCCCTGTCGTCAGGCAAGAATTTGCTGTATAAATCCTCAACCCATGACGGTAGGAATGTCCTCCCATGTTACCACAGATGCAAGCCCTGAACCCAAGTGATCATGCTCCCTTCAGTCTTCTTTATTGAGCAGGTGTATTATCAAGTACTTTGTCTGCGACTGGGCAAGTTTGTGGAGAAGAATGCTCAGAAAGGAAGACTGCCTCATAGTTCTTGACGTTACCGTTGACCAATTCCAAAACGTAAGGATCAGAGAGGCCCATGAGCTGTGCCAAGTCAGCTGGTTCTTCTGGGCCCAGGATGACAGTGGGGGTATCACAAAACAGTTGTACAAGCCAATGTAGCTGCCCTGCCCATGCAGGAAGATCCATTAGGCCAGACCTACTACTCTGGCCCATCCAGGGTGCCAAAGCCTAGCCTGAGCACCAGAATTAGTTGCTTCCATTCATGCAGTCTTGTTGAGCAGCCAGATTGAGGTTGAAGTGGCTTTTCTCTCAGTCTTCACAGATCTCCACAGGGAGAAGACAGAAGTCGCCACAAGTACCAAGCTCTTCCTGAGACTGAAGCCCACCATACCTCAGAGGCACAGGGAGGTCGGCAGGAGAGGAGTGCATTATCCCGAGGACCCACACCAAGGCAGCTCCAAATGTAAACAAAGCTTTGTGCCAGAGACAGAAGAGGAGGATGCAGCCTGATGTGAGGTTTTCAGAGAAAGACAATGACCTCTTATAGCACCAGGGTAGGCTTGCTTGGGTCTGCACAGCAGTCCCTCACACTGTCCCTTACAGAGAGAAACAAGTTATGTGATGATTTGGGCCCATGAAATGTTATCCGAGCCACTGACAGCTGAAAGAATTCAGGCGATCCACCTGATTCCAAAACAGTTTCAGCCCTCTTAAAAAGTTCATGCCAGAAACCTAGAGATTTACTTTCTATCAACTAGAACAAAGATTCATGGTCTCGATTAAAATAAAGGATTATCCTTTACGTTGTTACCAGGCTTCTGACTCAGGAATTTGTTCATTTGCCCTTGTTGGATCTGAGCCAGGGGCTTTTAACATGTGATCTATATACTAATGTATAACAGGTCCATGAGTAGAAAAATCTTTAAAGTTCACTGTTGCAGATAATACTTAACCGAAGATTGTGCTAAACGGACATAAAATCTGTGATCAGAGTCTGGCTCACCACCGCATAGGGCAGAAGGACTCAGTTTGGGGTACTTTTTTAAGTACCTGTCAGCCTGTTGCATCTTGTAGATGAATGAATGCTAATAACGCTTTCTTAGAACTAGCGTTCTGGACTAATTAATATCAATAAATAATGGAATATAACTCTCTCCTCATAGAAGGATTTTGAGCCAGAGGAAGAAATGGTAGCATTTCAGGCGCTAAAGTCAGATGGTTAGTTGGACCTGGTTAGATGAAAAATTTCCATAAAGCAGCCCCACTGTAGAGACTCCTGGTTCAAACCTCAGATATCAAATTCAGAAGCCACCAGCCATAGCTAGCAACCTAACACTCCTTCCCCCACCACAACTTACCAAGTAAGAGCTGTACATACCCACCAAGAGTAAAACAAAATGACCATTCCCCTGTCCCCCACCCTCTGAAGTCCCCTCCTTGAGGCTGGCCCCAGAACCTGAGTGTCTTCTGGGAGCATGCCAGTGACAGTGAGCATTGCCCTGAGACCCTTCATATGATGTGGGTCAACAGGCTCCTTTAATTTAGGAGAGTTGGGCCCACACAGTCTTGTTATCAGGACTTTGGTGGCCACAGCCACCTGCAGTCAGCTTTCTGGGCTTCAGGGGAAGTCACCTCTGGCCTCTAGTCAGTTTTCCTCTCAACCTCTCTCTCTTCAGCTACATCAAGCTCAGTCAGGACACAAAAGCAAAGCTTCTGGGTGACTCTGGTGATTGCAGCTAAATGAAAATAAAGCAGCACAGAATTCAGTAAATACATCTAGCTACAGCCCCCATATAAACACAAGGCTGATTAAAGCATATCTGTCGCTCCCTCCCCACAAGTCCCTTGGGGACTCTAAGCCAGGTTCTGTCCCTCCCAATAAGCCTCACTCTCCTCTGTCCCATGCCTAACCAGAGTGTGATACATGACTCCTCATCTTCCCAGGTAGACTGCACTGTCAGGAAGTAGTGCTTTAATCCCTAAGTAGGACACTAAAGTTAGAACTAAAGTCATAGCCGCTCAAGAAAGGGAAGTCCTGAGCAGCCCAGTCTCTTGGCCTCCAGCCAATCAAAAGTATGGGAGGGAAGTTATTAGCATAAACACACACAGAGCCACTGACTGATGGGGCAAAGAAAAACTCACCCAGGACCTTCCGAATAAAGGCTGGCCTCCTCGACTCTGGCAGGTAAACACCCAGGAAGTAGACAGGGATCCCAGAGAGGGCAATCCCGATGCCAATGAGGGAATTAACCGTGTCACTGAAGAGGGGCACAACCACCAGAAACACGGAGCATATGCAGAACACGATGGGAAAAATCAGGCTCAGCTGAAAGGGAGTGAGGTGAGACATTAAGTAAGGTGGGATGAGGAACAGGGCACGGGCAAGAAGGCACCTTGAGCCCCTCCCAGTCTGCCCAGAGATGCTGACCTTGAGAGGCCGGGGCCGCTCGGGCTCTTTCCAGCGAAGGTAGAGCTGTCCAGCAACAGACAGGCCCACGAAGAACCAGTAGCTGAAGCTGAAGTAGTTGATGAGCAGGAAAACATCCTCCACGATGAGGTAGATGAGTGTCATGGTGCACTGTGGGGAGAGGGATGGGAAAGAGGAGAAACCATCATAACCACCAGCCCATCCCAGGAGACTCCACCATCCAGCAGTCAGTGCTGGACCTGATGTGGCTTCACTAGAGTACCTCCAGATCTTTTTAGTGACCCCTTGGCATCAGACAGGTCCATTCTCTATATGAACCTTCAAGGCAGCATCTCTCTCTTTTGTTGGAGCCCTTCCTCCACTCAATGCCTCCCTTCTTACAAGCACTTTAGTAACAAGCCAGACTGCTTTCCCCTCTGGTGGCAGTGAGGCCCTCCACGCTTCAATGCACCAAACTCAACACGGAACACCTGGGTCCCAGTTACCTGGCAAGCGAATAGAGGAAATGCCTCCAGAACCATCTCATCGTGCTGGGGCCTTAGATATGCAAATTATCAAAATGGATCTATATAGGCCAGGCACATTGGCTCACGCCTGTAATCCTAGCACTCAGAGGCCGAGGCAGGCGGATCAGATCGCTCAAGGTCAGGAATTCGAAACCAGCCTGAGCAAGAGTGAGACCCCATCTCTACTAAAAATAGAAATTAATTGGCCAACTAAAAATATATAGAAAAAATTAGCCGGGCATGGTGGCGCATGCCTGTAGTCCTAGCTACTCAAGAGGCTGAGGCAGAAGGATCGCTTGAGCTGAGGAGTTTGAGGTTGCTGTGAGCTAGGCTGACACCATGGCACTCTAGCCCAGGCAACAGAGTGAGACTCTGTCTCAAAAAAAGAAAAAGAAAAGGATCTATACACCTTCAAAATAGGGTTATGATAGAATTTGCCCTCTGGAACAAAAGAATCCTAGAGGACAGGGGTCAGGGACTACAGTCTGAGGACACGGTCAGATTTGCTTAAACTTCAAGAATGTAGAATCCCTCCTACCTATCTTTTCAGCCCGAATTACCAACAAAGGGTTTAAAACAGCCCATTCTGTGGAGACAAGGGAGGACCCTGTATTAAGAGGCGAAAAGTAAGATAAAAGTAACTGACTTATAAACAAGAGGTCAGATTCCCTCTTAAATTTATTTATTTTTCCCCTCCTAAATTTATAAATTCAGTGTTGTCCCAGTCAAAATAATGAGAGGATTTTTCTATGATTTTGACAAAATAATACCAGCCTTCATGAAGACAAATGTGAGAATTGCCAAGAAAATTCAAAGGAGAATAAAATTAAAGAAGAAGTACCCTTATTCCCTTTTTAGTTTTCAGATATGCAGAATAAAGCTAAACTAATGAGGCTTGGTGCTGATAGGGAAGAATAGTTGAGATAATGATAAACTGAAGAGGCATACCACTGTACTTGATACATACTAAATACCCTAAAAAATTACTTACTATTTCTTTCATATGTGAAAAGTTAAAAAACTGGAAAAATTGATGATTATTCAATAAATGATATTAGTATAGCTGGGTAGCCATTTGAGAAAATTAAGTGAATCCCCACCTTACTCAATATATAGAAATATAAATAACAGAAGAACCCAAAACTGAAACTTAAGTAGTAAAACCATAAAAGAACTACATAACAAAAAATGAACTGTTTTTCAAATCTTGAAGTGAAGTCTTTCTCAAGGTTCCTATGACATGTTTGTAACAACTTAGCATAAATTAGGAGTACTGCACAGATCCGCCCAAGCCTCACACTCCCCCAGCAAGACTTACATTGAACAGTAAAGCAGGGATGGGTGTAAACCGTTCAATGTGGATCATGGACAGAAGGTCTGGGAGGTGGCCCTCACGGGAGCCCACGAAGAACAACCTGGAAGGATAAGAGAGGATAAGCAGGATATTTTTGCTCAGCCATACACCCACACTCCACACTCAAACTAGGCTCAGAGGCCCAAGGAAAAAAGGACACTCTCAGGAGCATCCTATGTCCTCAATCTACCCACAGATGTCTCTACTCTCTTCAAGGATGGGCACCTCACCACTCTCAGGAATACCCCACCCATCCCACAGTTACCCATTGATAATCCCAGGCCCCCAGCCATGGAACCCACTATCACTCACAGATACCTCACTAATATCCAACACATGCCTCACCCTGCATCACCCACTGGTATCCCCACTCCACCCCACTAGGAGTACCCCTCTTGTGTCATCCCACAAATTCATAGCTAACACAATGCCTTTGTAAAGATGACCAGCCAGATTTCTGTTTGTGCCCTCCATATATCTTCGCTGAGCTGATGTATCACAGGCCAGGGTGAGCCTGGGGGTCACAAAGACAACCCAGCTTCCTCTCTGTAACTAAAGAGCTCCACTGACTGGGAGAAAGACTGGCAGAGAAATGAAACACCACCCAGGGTAGGCAGCAGCATCATGGAGCACACAGCACTCACTCACTCACTAGGCTTGAGGAAAGGCTGGAGGGTAGGCTGGAGGAGCAAAAAGCTTTGCAGGAGATAACCATAGCTGTGCTGTGATGAAGAGCTGCTGGAGTGTGCCAGAAGCAAGTGGGTAAGTGGGGAACGAGTATGTGTAAAAGCAAGAGGCTTAGCGGCATGAAAGAGTGTGGCCTCTTTGGAGGCTGATGCTAGGATATCTGTTGTCCCAGGATAAGGAGTGCGAGAACAGGGTATTTAGAACAATCTACATACAAAGCCATGCTGTGGAGTCTGAACAAACACTGGGAACCATCTGTGACTTTGAATGAGGGTGGGCACCCTGGCAGACGAGAGAACAAGACAGATATGATAACCTCAATCATGTCAGATTTGGTGATCGTGTGTATGTGTATGCACAGGTTTGTGTGTACATGGACACATCTGAGCCAGGGGAAAGGGTAGACACCAAGGGAAAAATCAAGAGGCCAAGCAGGGAAGACTGATGGACCACGACAGCATAACTGGAGACAAATCTCATGTGGGGTGTGTAGGAAGTCTGAGGTACTTGGGTGCCATCCAGGTGGAGCCACAGGGATTCATACCATCACCTGGAAAGCTGTCTAGAGCAAAATGTCAGAATTGGCTCATGAGGTTAATAATTTGTACTAGGTAGAAGAGAAATATGGTAGAAAGGATGCCAGAAGGGGAAAGGCGGCAAAGATGTTTAGCACAAAACCAAGAGTAGCTGCTTGGGTAGTAAAGAAAACATGAAGATAGTAATACAGGCAGAAACAATTGTGCTCTATCTTGACATCACTGCAGTCCCCTTTATGTGCTACTATAGATTCTTTGTCTCCAAGTCCTCCCCCTGGCCCTCACATTGTCAATGTGACAAGACATCTGAGTGAGGGAGGAGGGCGACTACATGCTAAGTATTTATTTGGGGACAACTGGCAGAGCCAACTGAGAAGTCTTAGAGCATCAGAAAGGGTGGGGCTATCAGAAATACCATCTTGGGTGGGCCAATCTATGAAGAACCATGTCAGGTACAACCTTGGCCGTACCCTGCTCAGGTGAGAGTACATGATGCTGTATTCTTTTACAAGGCCTCAATCTCTCTATTTCTCTGGTTGCTCCAGGGAACATGGACTGGTTTGTGAAAACTAGTAAGAAGAATGAATGGGACAAACTATTTCCTTTATTGATTTATCCTTCTATGTATTCAAGTGGCAAATATTTACTGAAGGGCTATTATACTCCTGGCCCTGAGGATAGCAACATTTATAGAGTGAGAAGAAATTAGGAAAGAAGCCTTCTTCTCAGGTATCAGGTATCACAGAAGCCACGAGAATAGTTTCAGACTTAGAAGGTGGTCAGCCTCACTCCCTTCAGAGGTCTAGTAAGCTAAGGACTAAAACAAAGACATATCTTAACCCTCTTAGTGCAGCGGGCTGAAATGTCGGCTTTTGTGTCTGGGCCGAAAAAGCCAGTATTTTGGCCTGCCGTACTAAGAGGGTTACTAAGAATATTTTTCAGGTAATAGAAGCCAAACTATAATGGGTAGAAAAATGAATGAAAGGTGAAATGCAGAGTACTCTCTCAAGAATTGCATCCAGTAAAGACAAGAGGGAGTGGGAAAAGCTGTTCAGTGAGTTCTGTAAGTGCAGATAAGAGAAACTTGGGGAAAGCTGGCTCCACGTGAACTTCCACCAAAGAGAAGGACCAACTGATCATGCAGAGTGCGGGAGAAGAGGGACAGGACTGGAAACCTGAGACCAGGTAGCAGAGTCAACCAGAAAAGGCAGACCTGATCCTTCCTCTTCAACAGCAGGAAGGACAATTGCTCTTTTTTTTTGAGACACAGTCTCCCTTTGTTGCCCAGGCTAGAGTGAGTGCTGTGGCATCAGCCTAGCTCACAGCAACCTCAAACTCTTGGGCTCAAGCAATCCTACTCCCTCAGCCTCCAGAGTAGCTGGGACTACAGACGTGTGCCACCATGCCTGCCTAATTTTTTCTATATATATATATATTAGTTGGCCAATTAATTTCTTTCTATTTATAGTAGAGATGGGGTCTCACTCTTGCTCAGGCTGGTTTCGAACTCCTGACCTTGAGCGATCCACCCGCCTCGGCCTCCCAGAATGCTAGAATTACAGGCGTGAGCCACCACACCTGGCCGACAATTGCTCTTATAGAAAAGTCTCTATAAGAGAGGAGAGCAGACTACCTGATGGCCTTAGTGTTTTCTAGGAAGTCAGGGGCAGAGTCATCCTGTACGTAGCACCAGTACCTGGTACACAGCAAGTTCCCAGTTATCATTCACTGAATGAATGAATCTTAGGGCTGCAGCATAACCCAGGAGGAGTCTAGAATCTGGTCTGTGCCAGGATAACTACTCCAAGCTATTGCCTTCCACCTCTACACCCTTTATCAATCTGTCCTCACTTCAGACAGAAGCATGAACCACCAGCAGACATGTCTGCAGAAAACCAAGCACATGTTCACACACACACACACACACACACACACACACACACACATACATACACACCCTGTATGCCCATGAGAGGAAAAAGGGAAAAAAGGAGCTCTCATACCTAGATCCCCAGACAATACAACACTGCAGTCCACTATCAGTGATGCAGAGGTACAGTACCTTGATGAAGCAAAGATAGATGCGTTGAGGCCCCCGAAGCAGGACAGGGCAACAGCAATGGGGATGGTCCAGCTGAACATGCCAAATGTCTGGTCAGCAAATGTCTAGGGGCAGAGCACAGAAGGGGAACTCAACAGAGGACAGGGTTTACTCCTGCATCTATGATCTCACTCAAGACAAATGCAGTCACTGCTGAGTGGCCCACCCTCTGGCCTAGACACATGACCTCATCCCTAGAGAGCTGAAGGGGCCACAGAAAGAGGGACTGGGCCATTCAGGAGGGCAAAGTATGATGACATGATGAGCAAACAGGGATCAACAGACTCACCACAGCCACGGCATCACTGTTAAGGACATCCGAAATGCTCAGCACTGTGTAATAGGCCACGTTGGTCAGGATGTAGATGAGCGTCACAATTGGCATAGAAATCCCAATGGCCAAGGGCAAATTTCTGTCAGGACAAGTGAGATAGAACTACCTAGAACCAAGCCCTCCGTGGGATCAAAGTTCATCTCCTCTGGAATCTAACAAAGGAGATTCCAAATCTCCTCTGGAATTTAACAGTTCACTGCCCTCCAAGTCTTTGAGCCAGACTCATCTTCCCCTATGGCTTAGAATGGACAAGCGTCCCACACCCTGGGCTACTTCTGAGAGCAAAGAGACCTTTCTCATGAAGATAGGTCATGATCAATACTGGATCTTGCCATAGTAGGGCCAATGGTCCCACAGGCTTTCACAATCCTCCTCCATCTCAGGACAAATGTAAGGAACTGTGTCCTCTGGGGACTAGAGGCCAGGCTGGGAACCCAGCTGGCCAGAATAAGCTCTGGCTCTGCAGGCAGCAGTCTCAGCATCAGGGTGAAACGTCCTAATACCTTAGCCCCAGCTGGGTCTGCTGCTCCCCACTGAAGGACCTCTTCTTCAAGAAGGACTCTGGGGACCTTGCAGTGTAAACATGTGGGCCAGGACCCAAAGGCTTCCCCACCTTCACTCACTCCATCCTAGCCCTCAGCCCCTCCTACCTGGAGAAGGGGGAGTAGGAGAAGAGAGCATGAGAGGCAGAGGGAGAAGGGGGAGAGGGCAAGCATGCCCACTATCAGCAGGAGTTCCAGCCAAGCTGGGGGGTGAGAGTGTGATCCCGCCTTTACCTTTCTGGGTTTTTGATTTCTTCTGTTACAAAATTAAGGGTGTCCCAACCTGAGTAAGAGAAGAGGGCAGAGTAGAGGGCAAGAGAGAGGTCTCCCACGTCCCAGGAGGAACCCTCAAAGGCGTCCTCAAAGTGCTCAGAGTGTCCTGTGAAAGCAAAGGCAGGTGAGGGGTTCAGGGAGAAGTGACAAGTAAGAGGAGAAGGGGTGAGGACAGATAGAGGGTATAAGGAGAAGAGGAAGGATGGGAAGGGACAGTAACAAAGAGGAAAGGAAGATGAAAACAAAGAAACGGGGAGGAAGACAGGGAGGGACAAGAAAAAACAAGAGGGCAGGGGAAAGAAAAAAACACAATTTAACACCAAAAGATCAACAACTACTAGCTCCCTGTACTTTACCACCCCACCCACTCCCTCAGGGAAGTTCATATTCCTTTAGTAAAACTAGACAATCTCAGAAAAACAAAGGCAATCCTGGTTGCCCTCTGATGTGACAACTTTTTCCAAAACCCTAAAGAATTTCCATTTCCTCCATGTGACCTTGCAGCAGGCCACAGCTCTTCTTCCTATTTTTATCAAGGACCCGGTTTCACATAAAGCAGTTATTTTTCATTGATAACTAATAAACTTCTGTGGAACTACCTCTCTTTGCCCAAACCACTACAGAATTTGGTTCAATGGGTTTATCAGTCTCATGGCAAGAACACTGCTACTCTACTTGCAGTGGCTATGGTTTCAGAGAGCAGGAAATCACTGGCTATAGGAGAACTGGGGTCTTCTTAGCTTTCCATGTGCCTGGGCTATGTCTGGGCCATCTCTGACCTTCAGGGAGCCAGCCCGGGCCCAGGCACCTGTCATTCTCCTTGGAGGTCTCTGGAGACTACAGACCTGAAAGCACAGGATTAGCACTCAGCTGCCCACAACAGAGATCTTCTGGACACACTAGGGTTTTTAACAAGATCCAGACTTCTAAGGCAGCCTATTTTCATGCCCTGGATAAAACCTAGACCCAGCTATCAATGTGCCAAAAAGGGCCGAGTGTGCTACAAGAGAAGGGACAATAGAGACCCCATCCTTCAGGAGTGTCAGTCATCACACACAGCAGTGGTTCCCTAAGGCACAGACCTTCAGGGGAGGATTACTCAAGAACCCAATTTGACCCCAATATGCTTCTGAGCCACCAGGGTACTAAGTTGGTAAAAGTGCACAAAGGTGCTGGAACAGCTGCCTAAGAATCACTAAGGGCACTTCTTAAAAGCACAGCTTATATGATAATAAACCAGCCAGCATGTGATCTAATAAGTCTGGGATGAGGGTCTCAGCTCCCCTAATGACTATAAACACAGTCACATTGAGGGGTTTTTTTGAGACAGAGTCTCTTATTTTGCCTAGGCTAAAGTGCCATGGCGACAGCCTAGCTTACAGCAACCTCAAACTCCTGGGCTCAAGTGATCCTCCTGCCTCAGCCTCCAGAGTTGCTGGGACTACAGGCATGCACTAACATGCCCAGGGAATTTTTTCTACTTGTAGTAGAGATGGGGTCTCACTCTTGCTCAGGCTGGTCTCAAACTCCTGAGCTCAAACAGTCCTCCCTCCTCGGCTTCCCAGAGTGTTAGAATTATAGGCATGAGCCACCTCACCCAGCCACATCTGGGGACTGATGGCCTAGAGAACTGGGTTGTAAAATAATTGAGATATCCTTGGTTAAAGACACATCTGGCCCGATGCAGTGGCTCATGCCTATAATCCTAGCATTCTGGGAGACCAAGGCAGGAGGATCACTTGAGGTCAGGAGTTTGAGACCAACGAGAGCAAGACAGACACACCGTCTCTCCTAAAATCAGAAAACTTAGCTGTGTGCAGTGGTGCACACTGATAGTCCCAGATACTCTCGGAGGCTGAGTCAGGAAGATCACTTGAGTCCAAGAGTTTGAGGTGGCAGTGAGCTATGATCACACTGCTGCACTCTAGCCTGGGCGACAGAGAGAGACTGTGAAACAAAGACACCTCAGGACTTCTGTAAGGGCTCAGGAAATTTTGGAGGCCTGTTACCCTCACTGCCAGTTGGCTCTGATCCAGGAATAAAAAGCCTTCTAAAGCCAACATGCAGGAAAAACAGTGCAAATTTCACAATATTTTCATATTTTGCCAAGAGCTGACTTTGAGAAGGAACGCTGAATGCGAGTTCAGATGAAAAGTAAAGGCTGAAAAATAACCACCCATTTCCATTCCCACTCAAGGAGGGCCCAGACTTCCTACTTGCTGCCTAGCAGTCACAGACCACAAACAGGAACCACTCTGTCCCCACAGATTACTTTTATGACCAAATTATGACCCAAGCGTTGAGAGCTCCTAGGGACTTGGCTGGTTTCCTGCAGTGCTCCCAGCCTCCATAGGGAAAAGTAGCCCTGAGGGAGGAGCTGACTAATATCGACCTGGCCCAAGAAGCCAAGGAAGAACTTTATTCTCATCTCTTGCACTCACTGACACATACTAGCATGTACACAGAAACAGCTGAGTGGTAAAAGCTAACCGAGTCCCCATGTCCTCAGGGAATCCAGAGGACCTCCTGAAGACATCTACCCCCCTTCCCACCCTGAGCCCTTCTTACCCTGGCACAGTTTAACAAGGCCCATGACAATGATGGCAATGAGCGCTAGGACCTTGGCGTAAGTGAACGTGTCCTGCACACGTGTGCCCCACTTGACATAGGCACAGTTCACAAATGTCAGCAGACCTAGGAGAAAAACCATAAAATCACTGGCAGGTTTGCACTGAGAGAGCACAGAGGCCCAACCTCTCTTTATAGACAACATCACTTTGGCCCTTCCCGCCTAAGGCAAAGGGGCCAATGGATCTGTGAGAATCAGGAGAAAAAGAAAATGAGGGGAGACACCCTCCAACTGCCCCAGCTGAAAGCAAACATGAATGTCCCCCATCACTATTGACATTCAAACATACGAAGGCTGCAAAATAACCACCCATTTCCATTCCCTGTCATAGAGGGCCCAGTCTTCCTACTTGTTGCCTGGCTGTCACAGACCACAGACAGGAGCCACTCTGTCCCCACAGATTATTCTTATGATCCAATTATGGAATCCAAGCTTCAATGAACACATATTCATACATTGTGAAAGCCAGCTACATTTCTGGAAATTCCTCCCAGGCCCAGGAATGGCTGACTTTACTCACTCTTCCCCACTTAGACTCCCAAAGTTCTAAACCACAAGATACACAAGATCTATCTACAACCACATTAAAGAGTGGGGACAAAAGACACCAATCAATAAATAAGGTAAATTTGAATGCAGATTGCAGGTCATCTAAGGAATTAGACAATGTTTTGCATGTAAGCATAAACAAAAAACTTGTTTTGTGCCTGACAATTTCACATATATTCTCTCTACCAATTCTAATAAGCCCAAAATATAGACATTCCTATTCTCATTGTATAGGTGAGAAAACTGAGGCTGAGAGACTAACATTTCCAAGCCCACTGCTCACCCCTACCCTCATTCCAATCCAAACCTCCCAATTCTCAGTGAGGTCCATGGAGAATTGAGACCACTAGAATGTTTCCCAGGCTCATGTCAGCACTGCTCACTTTAAGTTACAGCTCCTCGCACACCTCAGTGACATCTGTGCCATGTGTTGAGTGTCCTAGAACTTTGCCACTGCTAAACAAGGATGGGTCTGACCCCTGGGGAGGATATAACAGCAATATCCAAGGGGTTCTACGGCAAGAAGGAACACAGTGACACTTCTAAGTACCACCTCTAGCCTCCAAAAATAGAACTTTTTTGTGCACTTCAAATGTCATTGGCAAATCCGCCGGGTGCAGTGGCTCATGCCTGTAATGCTAGCACTCTAGGAGGCTGAGGTGGGAGGACTGCTTGAGGTCAGGAGTTTAAAACCAGCCTGAGCAAGAGCAGGACCCCATCTCTACTAAAAAAAAATATATAGAAATTAGTTGAACAACTAAAAAAGTATATATGTAAAAAATTAGCCAGGCATGGTGGCTCATGCCTGTAGTCCCAGCCAACTCAGGATGCTGAGGCAGAAGGATTGCTTGAGCCCAGGTGTCTGAGGTTACTGTGAGCTAGGCTGACGCCACAGCACTCTAGCCCAGGCAACAGAGTGAGACTCTGTCTCAAAAAAAAAAAAAAAGTTATTAGCAAATCTTTTGGGCCCATTCTCTAAGCCACTTCCACCTTCTCCTACTCATTTTCTACTCTCTCCTTCAGCCAGACTCTCTCTTCCTTTTTCATGCCAGATATACACATAAAAGAAATGTTGGGTGGGAGCAGTGACTCACACCTGTATTCCTAGCACTCTGGGAGGTCAAGGTGGGAGGACTGCTTGAGGTTAGAAGTCTGAGACCAGCCTGAGCAAGAGCAAGACCCCATCTCTACAAAAAATAGAAAAAGTAGCCAGGCATGGTAGCACCTGCCTGAAGTCCCAGTTACTTGTGAGGTTGAGGTAGGAGGATCACTTGTACCCAGGAATTGAAGTTTGCAGTGAACTATGATGATACCACTGCACTCTAGCTACAGCAACAGAATAAGACTATCTCTAAAAAAAAAAAAAAGAAGAAAAGAAAAAAGTCCTCTCCCCTTCTCTTTCTGCCATAGTCAATAGCAACTCCTACTTTCAAGGTCTAGCTCAGCCCCCACTTCCTCTTAAAACCTTTCCCAAATATACCTACCAGGCCCTCTCTGAGCTCTCTTTCCCCTGAACTCCACAACATTCCCACTTCACAGCACAGCATAGTGTCTAATGCTGTGGTCATATGGACATTTGCCTCAAGTAGGTCTCTCCTCTTTGCCAAGCAAAGAGGAGAAATGATGAACCCTGGCTGGAATCAAGGTGGTGATGACTTTTATTTAACCAATTCCCTAAGGCAAGGCAAATTGTTAGAAAGTTGGATGTTCCTCCACTCCAAGGAAAAGAAGTGCCCAGAGCCAGCCTGTGGAAATACAGACAGCACAGCCTTGATGGCCTTTCAAGAGCTTTCACTCAGTATGCTAGCAAATAACATGGGTGCTTACCACTCAATCATGAGGCCGGGGTCTCAGGGAGAATGGTCAACAGGCAGGAGAGACACTCAAAGGAATGCATGGTGCTGGGACTTCTTCCCAGGGACAGCCCCTGCTGATCAAAGTTCTCTGTGTGGGGCTAAGCCTAGATCAGCTAACATAAGGATTCCCTAGTTAATAGCCACCTGTAATCCACAGAATACTGTGCAACACATTAACCATTATCTTGAGGCATCTGCCTAGTTCCTTCCTGAGAATTGCTTCCCCCCCTTTCCTATTACAGCCTATCAAGCCAGACATTGAATCCAAGGTGAGCCTAATAGATTGTCTCTCCCAAGAACATAGAGTTGGAAAACCAAGAAACTAAATATAAGAGTAGCAAGCAAAAGAGTTGGAAGCCACAGCCAGTCCAAGTCACATATAAGCCTTAGTAATAGAGGAACAAAAACCATAAATAAGCAGAGGAAAGGACCACAAAAAGCAGTGGAAGCAAGAGGATGTGTGGCTTTGAAAGGAAGACTGACAGAAGCCAGGCAGGGGGTGTGGTGGGGGTCGGGTAGGGTTGGGGGCATGCAGGCCTGTAGTTCCAGCTACTCTGGAGGCTGAGGCAGGAGGATTGTTTAAGCCCAGGAGAAAGAGACTTTCTGATCATATTCTGGCTGTACTCACTGTGCCTGTTTGTAGCCCCAGGATGGGGAAGAGAAGTTGAGACATTGCTATCACTCACTGACAGGCACTCCTAACTTCTGCCCCTTCTCCTTCCTTCCATCCTGCTACAGATTTCCCACAGGCTTGGTCCTCTCTACACACAAGCAAATATTACACACAGTGGAAATTCAATGACTATGTGCTAAACTAATGAATGCAGCCAGCTTTCCTGGAAGTCCCTGTAGAGCTCATTTCAAAGACCAGCAGGAAGGATACAAAACCACCTGGTCAGCATAGTTGCCTTTAGGGAGAAAGATTAAAGATCTGGGCCTAGCATTCTGGGAGGCTGAGGTGGGCGGATCTCTCGAGGTCCAGAGTTTGAGACCAGCCTGAGCAAGAATGAGACCCCGTCTCTACTAAAAATAAAAAGAAATTAATTGGTCAACTAAAAATATATAGAAAAAATTAGCGGGGCATGGTGGCGCATGCCTGTAGTCCCAGCTACTCGGGAGGCTGAGGGAGCAGGATTGCTTGAGCCCAGGAGTTTGAGGTTGCTGTAAGCTAGGCTGATGCTACAGCACTCTAGCCTGGGCAACAAAGCAAGACTCTGTCTCAAAAAAAAGGATCTGGAGAGAGAGGGAGACTTTTTCCACTGTGTACCCTTATATATTTTGACTGACTTACCATGCACATATGCTTCTTTCTAGATAAAAATAAACATAGTTCACTAGCAACAAAGTACAGCCAGAAAACAGAGCCAGGGTCACAATGAAGCTAGTAGGTGCCTAGAGTACAAAATTTAAGGAGGCACTCACTCTCAGGGGACCATGAGCAGGAACCTGAGACCTAGTACTTCCTTAAATGCTGGCCCCAGGCGCCTCCCTTGCCTCACTCTACTCTCAGCCCTGCCAGAGAACAGAGAGCTCTCAAAACAGTCTATCAAATAGAAGCCAGTGTGACTGTTTTCCTGATTCTAATTAAGAAACAAAATTGCACCATCTGATTCCCACCCCTCCATCCCTCCCAGAACCCCAGCCCTATCTAGCTCACCATAAGCTCTATCAGAGTTCAAATAAGACAAGCCTTGACCTTAAGGCCAGATGCTCAAATTCAGCTACCACACTTAAAACATCCAAGCTTTTCCTCTTCTTCTAATCTCATTTTCTTCCTGGGCAAGTCTGCACCAAGTAGCATAGAACCCATGGGAGGATCTTCAAGGCTCTCTGGGAACTTGTTGCTGAGAAAGAAGTACTCCAATAACAGTCCAGACCCAAATCCAAGCAGAAACAAATCCCCAAAGTCTCTCTGTGGCAGAGACTACTAATTATCTTCCAATATCTGTCCTTCCCTTTTTCCTTAGTAATAGAAATTTTAGCTGAAGTCATGGCTGCTCAAAATAAAGCTGACATTCTCTAGCCTCTCTTGAAGGTAGATATGACCATGTAACTAGGTTTTCCCCCAGGAATGTATGCAAATGTTTTATATAAGACCTCAGAAAGTGTCTTTAAAGGGAAGGGTGTGCCTTTCTTTGTCCTTCCTGTTAGCTACAATGCAGACATGACACTGGAGCTAGAGTAGTGGTCTTGGACCATGGGCTAGAAGTCACATACTGAGCTGGCAGGACAGTAGGACAGACAGAAGGAATAAACCTGGCTCCCTGAAGAACTGAAGTCATCCAGGCCACACTGCCTACCTTTAACATGTGAGAGAAATAAACGTCAGTATGTTTGAGCCATGCTGCTTTAGCTTTTCTGTTGTTTGAAACCCAAGCTAATACTGAATAATATGTATGCATCCTCTGACACAACTGCCTCTCATACTCTCTTCTGATGAAGAGAAGGCCTAGCAACCTCAAGCTGTAGTCCCAACTATGGTGAAAGTCACAGCTCCCTTTGCACACAAGCAACCGGGATGGGAGGGAAATCTTCCTTCCACAAATAGGCTAGGTATTATAAAGGGGCATTCAAGGACACACACCATGGCACTCTGCCTAGGTGACAGAATGAGATTCTGTCTCAAAAAAAAAAAAAAAAAAAAAAAAAGTCTATTAGAA